TATTATTAATATAATAAATATAATTATATCAATACAATATAATATTACAATATCATATTATAATTATAATATCATATTATTAAAATAATTATAATATCATATTATATGATAAAATAATAATATTAGTGTTATTAATATAATTATGATATTATTTGTTACAATATTATTATTATATTATATTATATTATATTATGAGTTTGAATTTTAGATTTGGAAGATTATAAATTAAAAATTTTATTAGGTGTATTATGGGTATTATAAAAGTTTCATTAATTATACTATGTTGATTCCCGCACAATCTAAAAGCTAAAGTTATCTTTAGGTTGCTTTTGATTTTGGCTGTAAATTCTTAAAAAATTCTTCAAAAAGCACTTTTAATGAGATTTACTAAATACTAAAATCAGCTTCTACTACAAGCAGAAGCTAATTTTAGGAGGGAAAAGCAATACCAAACTAAGCCTAACTTACGCAGATACAACTTCCTTTCCAATCTTGGAATACAGCTTCATCTTCTTCGCATCTTGAGACCCCTGCGTTGAAGACGCTCTCATCAAGCTAAACAGAAGATATAACCAAAACATTTGCAAAGATTTTCTTTTCTTTCTTTAATTTCTTTCCTTTTATTTATTTATTTTCTTTTTTGTTTGCAAATGAACAAGACAATGAGGAATTTTTTCCATACGTAAAATTACATTACTTTCCATTATGGTGACTTAAAGAACAATCCCTAAACTCAAACCAAAATAAGAGGACATGCAAAACCATATTACTAACTATATAGCTTTAAGATGATATTAAACACAGAAATCCTATCTGAATGCACATGTATAAAAACACAAAAACTCACAAATCAAAATTAAACAACAATAAAGAGAACTATCGCCTACATAAAAATACAATTTCCAACTTGGGACTTTCGTCGAACAGGTGGTGCTCATAAACAGTGAACACTTGAAACAAATCAACAATGGACAATCAGAACAGCCCTTGAAAAGGCGATTCAAAGGAAACAAATGAACAAATTCAAGAATATTAACGTATAGAAAGAGAAACTAAAACCTTTCTACCGGCGATTTTGCAAGAACGCCTTCCCATGCAGAGAGGAGAGAGAGTCCGTATAGTCCTGACCCCATCGGTACGACATCTCACTTGATCATACACGCGATTCCACGAAGAAAACGACGACGATATGGCCGACGAATACGACAAGTTCCTTCCCAGTAAGCCATTCCCTGAATCGCATCACTACTTCTTCAACGACGTTTCTCAATCGGAAGGGGAAAAAAATCGAAAATTTAGAGAATTTGGTAGAAAGTTACTGTAGAAAGCGATGGAGTTTGGGGATTTGAAGGAGATTCCATTGCAGAATCTGTGGACGAAAATTCCGCCGAATTTTCTGATTGAACAACATGAATTCATTTTTTTTTTTTTTGGTTCTTTTGAAATGTTTACTCTGCTTCTTCTTGTTGTTCTTCTTCTTCCGACGAATAGCGAAGTAACATGGAAAGTAAATAGATAGGCGTTAGAGTAAGAGTTGGTCCTTTTCAACCTTAATTTCTTTTTTTTTTCTCTCTTTTGTGTTTGTTTTAGCTGCAGACTTTTCCGGTTGAACTACGACGGATGTGGAGCTCTGAAATCTGGTGCTGAGACGATACGTTCGATTGCGACGAAATCATCGTAGAGGTTTGGACCTGAGGTGGGCCACGGCCCAAAGGCATAGACTGGTGAAAAACGACCAAAATATTAAACGACAATATGAACGAGGAACGACAACAACATAGAAAACGACAAAACAGAAACGATGTGACGAAGGAAGAATAAGCAGTAACAAGAACCAGAAACGATATAAATTTGTAAAGGGCTCCCAACTTAGTAGGTGACAACTTAAATTCTGCTTGGGTAAAAGGGGGTTGTTTGGCTCAAATTTAAGATGTTTTTTCAGTTTTTCTTAGATAAAAAAATAATAATTCAGGGAGAGAATGAGTAGCGTTATTATATTCTTTAGACATTAATAAAAAGCTCTTATAATTTGATAGGAATGTTTATTGAAGATTTTACAAATGACCATATCTCTCAAATAAGAAACGTGCAACCCTATTATCATTGAATGTGCTAACAAAAATGATACATGGGATATGGTCTTAAACATTCTAAATTGAGTATTGAGCTGGTACAAAATAAACCTTCACATTTACGATTTTAAAAGAATAACTCAACACTCAAATCTATAACCACAAGTCTACTACAGTACTTTATTACTGTTAAGCCACCACATTCAGTAGTAATATCACTATCAATTGGAGTGAATTGCCACACTTTATTATGCTTGGGAATGGTATAGTCAAAATCAAAAGTCGAAGAACCATTTTCTGCAAATTCTTTACCAATGTAGGAAATATATGCACTATAAACTCTTTTTTTTTGTGTTTGGAATTCACATTCTCCCTCGTACATAGTGAAGTTATAATGATATTCCTAGAATTACTACAATGATTGGCACTACCAGCGCATGTGGGATGTTGTCGTTTAGCTGCCATTATTTTTTTATTTAGAACTGTCAGTTAGCTGTCCATATTATTCCACCAACTGTCATTGTGCCTCTCCTTTATAATATTCGACTCTAGTAATAATCATGACAATAACATAAAATCTGCGCTTGGGAATCACTTCCCAAGTCAGAGAAAAAAATAAGTCAGAAGAAAAAAATACAAAAAGCAACTAAATAGGAAATAACTTCAGCACTTTTGACAGTAAAATTAGCGATAACAGACTACATTTACTAGTAAACAGATAACAAATCAACTGATATTACGGCTTTCCGCAAATCAACAAAATAACTGTTATGATTCTTGTAATTTTCGAGGTAGCGAAAATTGATATGTTAAATATATAAAGTTTTTATTGAAAAGAAAACCAGGAAAAACTATTAAGCAAGAAGATAATTATTACTTTTTCAAATTGAATAACCAAACACGGACTAAAAAATTGACAGTTGAGTTTACTATTCAATAGAGCAGAGCTACAACTTTACGTCCAGCCAAATGGACCGGTTCAAAATCATTATTTTTCCGTTTGATCTGGACCGGTTTAAACTCACAATTTGAGTAACCTGAGGTTTCTTTTTATTATAATTATTTTTTTTAAATTTACCTATAAAGTTTCAATCTAAGTCCGGGCATCGAGGTTTATGGTTTTTCTACCACCTTAATTTCTCTTTTTCAGATTGTTAATCTAAGAAGTACGATCTAAATTTATAGCTCTTTAGTTATTTATTTATGCTTTCTTTTCGTTAGAAAGAAGCTCAAATCACTTCATTTTATACCACACAATGAGAAGACCACATATAGTTACCGAGTTATCATAATTAAAGACTATTTCGATTGTGGGTTTTGCTAAACCCTTTTGTTTGAAGACATAATTTTATGTTTCTATCAAAAGCAAACAATAAAATCGGAACACAAACACATATCATAATGTGAAATTTTACAAAATTTATGCTTTGTTTAAAAGTTGATGTTTTCTCACCATCCAATTAAAATTCATTGTCAAACAACGCGTTAATTAGGATGGATATTATTTTCCACGCACGCATCTAGAAGAAGAAGAAGAAGAATTGAAGAAGAGGAGTTAATAAGGATGGATAATATTTTCCACGCACACATCTAGAAGAAGAAGAGGAGGGGGAGGAGGAGGAGAAGAAGAAGAAGTTTCAATCTCATGATGGGCTTAATCAAAATTGCAAAAAATAAAATAAAATTTATGACCTAATCCAGCATACTCTATTGAAAAGTTCATTTAAAATAACACAATTTTTAGCAAATTTCAATTTATTATAATTTTGTCTTTACATTGTTTGTCTTCTCTTTAAAAAAAAAAATTATTTTGTTTTCCCCAAAGTTTAATCCACAATAAAGAACTTGGTATCTATTGCATAGGAGTAAATAATAGATAATACCAATTTATATATATATTAAAGTATCTCTGTCATCTAATGTAATAACTAAACTCTTACAGCAGCATATTAAACATTTTCTTACTCAAAAAATGCCTAATTATATTCCCTAAAAGAGAAAAAAAAAAAAAGTGTAATAAAAAGTACATTGTGTAATATGGTTGCAGTCTGTAGGCCTTATGATGACCTTATCATGCCCTTGACCACTTCCGTTCAAGTGCCCTAGAAAGTTCCACATCTAATCCATTTTGGACTTTGCAGGACAATACGACAAATGGTGCGCTATTCTTGGAATAATACTCTTACCAAGCAACAAAACAAAAGTTGCGTGTGCCCGGACTCTTCCACTTTTTTTTCACTATGTGGTTTATTTTGACGGGAGAATCTCATGTTGTCTTTTGGAAAAAATAAATTATTAATAATCTCTTATTTTTCACCTATTAAATCTTTATTAAAATTTATATGTTTTGTATATTTTTTAATTTAGTATAAAACTAAAATTATTGGTAACCGGTATACCAAAAAAGATTCCTATTTTAAAGGCTATCCTAATTTTGAAAATCACCTTTGCCCAAAAGTAGATACGGACAAATATAATAAAGTATGGGATGATCAATTGCCATTAATTTTTCAAGCAATATTACCGTATGACAATATTCAAGTTGTGTACAGATGTATAAATTTTAATCTTAACTATTTTGTATCAATTTACGTGACACTTTAATTATCATATTTTTATTAAAAAATATTTAAAAAATTATCACGTCAGTTACTGATAAGTGACTATATCTATTAATAAAATGATCACAACTCGCATATCACATAAGTTGTGATCGCATATCACATAAGTTAGTATAAAATAATTAAGATTTGAGATGATGTCTCTAACATTACTCATGAAAATATAATTGGTTAAAAATTAAAAAATATTTTGATATTTATGACAGAAAATTTACTTAAAAATTATTGTAATAATCTAATATCTTATTTTTCTGCTACGCCATAATTCTTAATTTAGGCTAATTTCGCTTGTGTCTCTTGAGTTTTAGAATCATTTTCACTTTGCCTCCTAAATTTAAAAAACTCTTACTTTGTCTTTTAAAATAAAAATTAGTCTCATTTAAACCCTTTTATATGAATTTCCATTAAAATCGGATAGTCTTATAGTTTTTATCTGTTTATTTTTAACAAAATCAGTTAATCTTGCTTCAAACTACATGTACGCACAACTTTGTGGACATGAAGCACAAATCATTGAAAAGGCTCATAACAGAATTCTTCAAAATAATTCAACATTTAAGAGATAAAATGAGATTTTTAGAATTCAGGGATCCTTAATTTATTACGATAACATATAGCGGTGTATCTCTTAAAGCATCTCTAATGTAATGTTATAATTGATGTGCTAATCACAAATTTAACATTTGATTGTAAAAAATATTCTCTAATGCAATATTATTTGTTATGTTACATTTTTCGTATGCTATAGTTTATAGTAAATTTCTCACCAAGAATAATATATGAAAAATTTGACATTTGATTGTTATTGGTTGAAATTTTTACATTTCTATGTAATCAATGCAACTTTTACATTTTCTAATTATTTTAAACATAAAAGTTTACTTTATAGCTTTCAAAGTTTAATAATTATTAAAAATAAATAAATTTAGCATTTTAAATAGTATCATATATTGAAATAAAAATAAAAATAACATACTATATCACATATTTTTATAATAAATATACAATTAACATTAATATTTAAATTAAAAATGGTATTATCACCGCCATTGCTAATTCACATAGCGTGCAAAGAAAATGAGGAAAAAAAAATAAAAATAAAAATAAAAGGTTGTAGATGGCCCCACCAATGTCCAAACAAAGATGTACAGTCAACATCCAACCTTGTGCCTACATGATCCAGTTCAGCTTTCATTTCCCCACATTTTCAACTCCAAAACCAAAAGGAGGAGGATGTTGTTGACATATATATATATATATATATATTAAATATCTCGTATTTTTAGGACAAAATAAAAATAAACAAGGTGAAAAGATAAAAACACTGTTAAATAATTTATGAATAATATTCTAGGAGAGTTTAAGGAAAACATTGTGGACGACAGACCTCATTTACAATTTCTTTTTTTTTAAAAAAATTATGTTTTGCTTTAAGGTTTTGATGTTTTTTTAAATGTTTAAAATATTTTCAAACATTATTTAATGGTATTTTTTATTTTTATTATTTTTTTCCTCAAAAATGCGTTAGGGATGAAATTAAAGCGTATTTTTTTTCAAATCTAGATGATACTTATATAGTTTTGAAAAGATATAAAGATAAATTGAGAAAAAAAATAAAACTAATAGTATTGTTATGTAATTTTCCCGCATATGTATCTCATCGTTTCTCCTTTTTTTCTTCCTTTTTTTAATTGAACATTGACCATTTTTATCTCTTTATACCCAACCTCGGTGCTTTTTTACACGTTATATGTCTTCTAGAAAAGCCATTTTACAGCTTGCATTTTTTTTCTTTTTTTTTCCCCCTGTTAAGCCCTCTCTTTTAAGTACTAAATCTAATTAAAATCACATAAAAATAAAAACTACACATAACAAATAATTTTTAATATATATTTGATGGTTAAAAATACAAACTTTTTAGCAGTTTATTTTTTTCAAGACTTAGGAGAGAAACTCTTTTTTTTTCTTTTTTGGTAACTTGCAATTTTATAATAGAGTAATTGATATTATTGATCCCTAAACTGTTTAATAGGTGACAATTGGATTTTCATTCTCTTAATTTTGAAAAATGCAGCCCAAAACTATTCAAACATTTTCAGTAGTTTATTTTATTACATATTTAACGGTTAAAAATAAAAAAATTTTAAGACCTATCAAAAAATTCTTTTTTTTTCTTCCTTTTTTGGTAACTTGCAATTTCATAATAGAGTAATTGGTATTATTGGTCATTGAATTGTTTAATAGGTGACAATTGGATTTTCATCTTTTAATTTTGAAAAATGCAGCCTAAAACTGTTAAAACATTTTCAGTAGTTTATTTTAATACAGATTTTACGGGTGAAAATAGAAATATTTCAATAGTTCATTTTTTCAAGACCTATTAGAGAAGCCCTTTTTTTTTTCTTTTTTGGTAACTTGCAATTATAAAATATAGTAGTTGGTATTATTGGTCCATGAATTGTTTAATAGGTGACAATTTGATTTTAATGCTTTTTGATTTTGAAAAATGCAGCCCAAAACTATTAAAACGTTTGCAATTAAAGGATTAATTTTGTTTTCATAAATTTTTCATGAGTGAATCTTTTCTCATTTAAAAGACCAAAATACCCTCATACAAGACCTCTAACTAAAGAAACAAAAAGCACCAAACTCTAAGGAGGAGATAAGAGAAAGGAAACATCTTGCAAACTCTAAACCTTAAAAAAAAAAAAAAAAAAGAGAATTCATTAAAATAAAATAAAAAAGTGAGGGGAGGGAGAGATGCGTCCCCGCATGATGTTATTCTTTGATAATGGAAATCGAAACTGATTGAGAGATTTTACTATCTAAGTCTTTTATTTAACTAGATGATAGCGGTTACGACGTACGTCATTATCGCTTTAATCCATCGGAATTAATTTCACACCACAGAACTAACAAATTTCTACACACCTAGGTGATTTTTCCAAGTTGATTGAGATAAATAGATTGAGCTATTATGAGTCTATTTGAGGTGGATAATGTAGTTCACGTCTAAAAAAAAATGATGGTTTTCAAGAGGGTAGTGATGGACTTGTTGCGGTGGCTCTAGGCGACGTTTTACAGTAGCTATTGTCAAGAAACGTTGGTCGGTTTTGATATTCTATTCATTCGAAGCACATAGGAAGAAGAATCACATGAATCAACATCTCTTATGGAAAAGTTTTAACTGCTTAGGGGGGCATTTGCGCAACTTAATAGAATGACGACGAAATTGTCACATATATAAATTTTAATCATCTATGGACCAATCGTGTCAATTACTTCTTAAAATAAATGCATTAATTGGTCTCCATCTTTGTTACTTGACAAGATTTTTCCCACTAGGGACTGTTATTACTTTTTCTTTATTTTTTTCATTTTTTTATTTGGGGGTGTGTGTGGTGATGAAGAGTGCCATTACTTACTTGTGCATGGATATGGGTGTAGTTTTAATATTTATTCTAATATTTACTTATCAATAAGTATTATTATTTTAGCCACAAGATATTAATTCGATAGTTGTAAAAAATTAAATAATTGACTAAAAACATTTATAACAAATAATGACATTAAATTCTTATCACGTTACGTTATTAGATTTTTATATTTAATGTAACAAATGTGATAAGAATCTATTGTCATTAATTGTTATAAATTTTTTTAGTCATTTAATTTCTTACGGGTCAATATTATTAAAACAATGATATCTATTAATGAGTAAATATTAAAGTAATATATATTATTAATATATATATATATAATATAACTGTTTCCAAAATTCTTTAGCTGCAATCGAATATGTTTAACCCGTTTTAATTTTTCTTCCTCAGCCTAAAATAAGGACTATCTCACATGTGGCTTGGTAATCTCTACCTCGTGTACTGGTTTAACGTAAACCAGAATAATTAATTGCAGTGATAGGAAATGAAATTAATTGATAGTGGGTCTTCATAATAACCTATATTGATGAAGCAGAAAATTCAAGGGCATAATATTGATGCATAAAAAAAAAACCTAATGATGTATACGAGAGGAGTTTTAATTTATTACTATCATAATCAAGTTTATGATTTCCAATAGGTGCCATGCATGAACATAGGAGGACTTTGTGGATAAAATCTCTCAATCAATTACACTAATGTACCAAACAAAGAAATTTCTATCAGATAAAAAAAAAATATCTATCAATTATATCTCTTTCATGCGCTCAGGGAGTAGTTTATAGATGTCTGTCAGGAAAAATAATATATAAATAAATAAATAAATATTTATCCCAACATTGACTTTAAGCATAAAAAATAATAAAAAATAATTAAAAAATAAAATTATATAGGTGGCTTTTTGCCAGAAAAATAATAAAAAATTATAGAGGTGGTTAATTGAAAATTTACCGCTGATTTTACCCTCAGTTTATCATATATGGTTGGCAATAGCCAATGATGCATGATGGTTCAAAACGTCAAGACAATGATACATGATGGTCCAAACCAATATCATTCAATTATTATTATTTTTTTTTTATTTTTTTAACATTTCTTTTTGTTTTTGCTGATTAGATTACAGGTTACGTAGTTCATACTCAATAAGATTATGTTATATCTGATAGCCATCGTCTTAAATATGTGAGTCGTACGTTATGGCAAATATAACACTTTTCGAAAGAAATGAATTTAAGTCGTATGTTAGGGCAGATATAAAATTTTTCGAAAGAAATTATTAACTCTTTTACTGCAGCATGATAACAATGAAACTTCAATAAACATGAGCATAGATTATATTTTATTGAGTGTTATATCAAATAAAATAAGTGTCATACGAATATATATATGATATTATATTGACAAACAAAAAATATTATATTTGTCACTGATAGATTGAAGACATTTTCCTTATACGTATCTAAAGAGAAGATTAATGCATTATATGTATATTTAACAGCATCCTCTAAAATTTGGATCAAAACACATCCATTATTTTTAGAAAAATTATTTTGACTTTACATTATACGGTAAAACATACTCAGCAATACCGTAAGTTTCCGAGTTCATATTATATCGTAATCAAATAAGAAGTAAATGTAAAGATATGAGTGAATATATATGTGTGAGTGTGTGTCTATATTTAGAGGGAGAAATAGAGAGATATTTTGAGAGAAAAATAGAGAGATATTTTGATTATTGAGAGTACTTTTTTCTTTTTTTTTTTTTTGGGAAGGGATTATAGAGAATACTTTTTAATTCTGAATTTTTTTTTTTTTATCAAACAGAATCAAAATGGTAGGAAAAAAAAAAAAAAAAAAAAAGACACGGCCTAAAGTACCATAAACATGACTTATTTTGATTATAAAATTCTCAAACAACTATGAGGTTATTTTCTCTGCATCTTACCGCAAACTTTCGTTCCTCTGCATTTTCTTTTTTGTTTTTAAAAATTTCGAAATATATATACAGCAAGATAATTTGAGGATAGAAAAAATTCTTTCAACCCAAATCACCCCTCATGCACATGAATAATAACAAAAACCCCCATTAATTCCAAAATCACTTCCTACCCTACCACATAAGACAGACATCTTCTGTCGTTTGGTTGTTTCCTCTCTTTGTTTCTACTTTGCACTAGAAATTAAGAACAAAAGAAAACAATACCAAAAAGATAAATAAAAAACAAAGAAGACAGTAAAAAACCTCAAATAAAAAATAGATAACTACTAATGGGAAATGCTTCTTTTTTCCTCCTATAAAGATGTAGAACTGATGTCCTGAATTTTCTATTTCATTGATTCTCTCCAAATACTATTTACCATATTGTTGATTTGAGAATTTGACCATATAATAAATATTAAATGCTTAAAATTCTTGAGAAAATAAAAGAATTGTCGATTGAGGACACTGAACAAAGTAAAAAAATAGGCGAGCAGATCTATACTCGTAAGATTCAATACTCTAAATTCTTATCTTTACGTCTTTCTTATCAATGAACAACATGACACTGGATTTGTGGTGGTTTACGGGAGTGGATGTTTAGTTCACGGATTCAAAATTATGATTCATAACTATTTTTAATTTACGTGTGTTTTTATGAGAGAAAATACTGTAATGAACTACGAATCATGACACAAATTTTCATACCAAACACCCAAACTCCTTACGTAAACTAGTTGAAGGAATCCATATATTAAATTTTAATTAACGTAATATTATCAAAAGTATATAAAATTTAAATATAAATTATTTTGAAATTAAATCTGAATATAAAATTCTAAAAGGAAAGAATGAAAAAGTTTAAAGTTTTATAAAACAGAAGTAAGAAAAAAAAAGTTTAAAAAATGAGTAAAAGGAAAAAAAAAAAAAAAGTTTCAAGATAAAAATAGAAAAAGGATTAAAAAAACGACTCAAATTAAGAAATAAACAAGGTTTGATTCACAAAAATACAAATTCCACTCTTCCTTCCTTTCCCATCTCTCTACAACACTTTTGATTCACTCCTCTGTGGGTGGTGGTGTAAGGTAACAGAGGAGAGAGAGAGAGAGAGAGAGAGAGAGAGAGAGTATATTAGCTGGTGGTAGTAGTCCATCATTTCATCTGACTTTTCCTTTTTCTCTCTTTCCTCTCTCTCTCTCTCTAAAAATGGCTCATATCTTCAGAGAACTCTCGCTGGGCCACTCCAAGAGAGAGAGTCAGACCACCACCACAATGGCCAAGTCCACCACCATCGCCACCGATCTCCCCTCCCCGCTCGGCCAACTCGCCGCCCAACTCAGCGACTCGGACCTCCGACTAACCGCCTACGAGATCTTCGTCGCCGCCTGCCGCACCTCCTCCGGCAAGCCCCTCACCTACGTCACCAACTCCAACTCCAACTCCAATTCCGACTCGCCGGGGCAACCCGCCAACTCGCCTGGCTCTCCGGCTTTCCAGCGCTCCCTCACCTCCGCCGCCGCCAGCAAGGTCAAGAAGGCCTTTGGCCTTAAATCTCCAGGTTCCGGCTCCAAGAAGAGCCCAGGCTCCGGGTCCGGTCCCGGGAAGCCCAAGAAGCCATTGACCGTCGGTGAGCTCATGAGGATCCAAATGAAGGTCTCTGAAGCCATGGATTCCAGAGTCAGGAGAGCTCTTCTTAGAATTGCTGCTGCACAGGTGCAGTTTCTTTGCATTTTGATCCATTAATTGTTCTTTGTCATTTCGGTGCTTCTAGGTAATTTAGATTTAGTTTCTAATTTTGTTTTTTTTTTCTTTTTCTGAAGATGTGATCATTTGGATTTTTGTTGGTGAAAATGTCGGTGGCTTTCGATTTCGTGAAGTTTACTAGTTTTTGGTTTTTGTTTAATTGCTTAAAGTCGGTTTGATCTGATGCTTTGAAAAGTTTGGTTGCATAATGCATTTGCTGCAACGCCCAAATTAATTCCTCGTTTGATGCACTGGATTTGAGACATTGGAAAAAGTCCTGTTTGGTCAAGATTTGACTAGACTGGAATGGGATTATTATTTAAGTTAAACAATCCTTTTCAAATTAATCCAATATTTCACATCAAACAGAGCGTTTTGTTGTACCGGATTTTTCTCATGGAATTATGAGTAGAATGAATGTCGCGGATAATTTGGAAATGTATGTTTTGTGGGTAGGAATAGAGGGTCTATATTGGAGTTATAGTTTGTCATTTCTTGTGTTCTTATTTGTGTCACAGGTTGGAAGGAGAATTGAATCGGTCGTAGTTCCACTAGAGCTGTTACAGCAGCTCAAGCTGTCGGATTTTACCGATTCACAAGAATACGATGCGTGGCAGAAAAGAACACTTAAAGTTCTTGAGGCCGGCCTCCTTTTGCATCCTCGCTTGCCACTAGACAGAGCGCAGAGTGCTGCGCAGCGGCTGCGGCAAATTATTCACGGGGCTCAGAATAGACCCATTGAAACTGGGAGGAACAACGAATCCATGCAAGTTCTACGGAGTGCTGTTATGGCACTTGCATCGAGATCAGTTGACGGGTCTCTCACTGAGGCATGCCACTGGGCAGATGGGTTCCCACTAAATCTCCGGCTCTACCAGATGCTTCTAGAAGCCTGCTTTGACATTAATGATGAATCATCCATACTTGAGGAAATTGACGAGCTTATGGAACACATTAAGAAGACCTGGGGAATCCTTGGAATTAACCAGGCATTCCATAATATCTGCTTTACATGGGTTTTATTTCACCGTTTTGTTGCAACTGGCCAAGTCGAAATGGACCTGTTATATGCCGCTGATAGTCAGCTAGAAGAGGTTGCAAAGGATGCAAAGACAACAAAGGATCCAGAGTACTCTAAAGTCTTGAGTTCGACGTTGACAGCAATAATGGGTTGGGCAGAGAAGAGGCTCCTAGCATACCATGAGACTTTTGATACCGGCAATATTGAAACCATGCAAGGAATCGTATCTTTGGCGGTTGCACCTGCTAAGATTTTAGTTGAAGATATATCTAATGAGTACCGAAGAAGGAGGAAGAGCGAAGTTAATGTGGCTCGAGACAGGATAGACACCTACATTAGGTCATCATTGCGAACCGCTTTTGCTCAGGCAAGTCCTTATTATCAGCAATGCATTAATTTTGACACCAGACCTCTTTGTTGGCAGTAGTGTTTATTTTTATGGAACTAGTGAATTTTTAACCTTCTTGAGGCGTTGGTAAAGCAATATTTTCCACATACAACCATTAACAGAGTATTAGGTTGGCCTGCATAATAGATAGCTTTTGTTCCATCAAAATTCCATTTCATTCATACTTGTATTTGCAGTAAATTCAAAAACGTATAGTATTAGTTGGATTTCACTCCTGAAATTGTTTATTTTTCTTGATAGAGAATGGAGAAGGCTGACTCAAGCAGGAGAGCATCCAAAAACCAGCCAAATCCTCTTCCCGTCCTGGCGATCCTCGCAAAGGATGTTGGTGAACTAGCATTGAAGGAGAAGCGGATGTTTAGTCCAATTTTGAAGAGATGGCATCCTCTTGCAGCAGGTGTGGCTGTTGCCACCCTACATGTTTGCTATGGAAACGAGATAAAACAATTCATAGCAGGTATAACAGAGTTGACACCAGATGCTGTGCAAGTATTGAGAGCTGCAGAGAAGCTGGAGAAAGATCTTGTACAGATAGCAGTTGAAGATTCCGTGGACAGTGATGATGGCGGGAAGGCAATAATTCGCGAGATGCCTCCTTTCGAGGCAGAAGCTGCAATTGCGAATTTGGTAAAAATGTGGATCAAGACCAGAGTGGACAGACTGAAAGAATGGGTTGATAGGAATCTGCAGCAAGAGGTATGTACAAACTATTTTAATTTCAATTTCAATTTTGCTTTAATATTTTGGTATTATATTTGGGGAAGAAACTTGCACTTGTAGTTAAGACATACGTATTTCGTGACATGTATGCATACTAATATCTCTTAAGCTCACGCTGACAATAGTTTTCATATCATTTTCTTTTGTATGCTTATACCTCTTGTGCTTGTAATTGAATCTTTAATATGATGAGTAACGACAAGTTTTATTTCGATGCATCATGCATCAGCGGGCATGTTAGTGATAGCAACGCCTTAAAGGCAATTTGCCATCTTCATTGAGCTAAGCTTGTTAATAGCAATTTACAGGTGTGGATTCCAATAGAAAACGAAGGATATGCTCCATCTGCTGTGGAAGTTTTGCGAATATTTGATGAAACTTTGGATGCGTACTTTCAGTTACCAATACCGATGCATCCTGCAGTGCTTCCAGACTTGATCGCAGGCCTTGATAGATGCCTTCAATATTACATAACCAAGGCAAAATCTGGCTGTGGTATATTCTTTTGAAACTCACATTTTATCCGCATGCAGCTGAAGGTTTGTAATATGTTTGGTAATCAAAATTTTTGTTGTGATACCCAGGAGCACGGAATACATTTATCCCCACTTTGCCAGGGTTAACCAGGTGTACTATTGGATCAAAGTTCCAAGGATTTGGCAAGAAGAAAGAAAAATCACCAATTCCTCCGAAAAGGAATTCTCAGGTTGGAACAGTGAATGGAGATAACGCTTTTGGAGTACAACAGCTTTGTGTCCGTATAAACACTTTGCAAAGAATCCGCGGTGAGTTGGAAGTTTTGGAGAAAAGGATAATCACCCATCTGAGGAACTCTGAATCTGCCCATGTTGAAGACTTTTCTAATGGCTTGGAAAAGAAATTTGAACTCTCACCGCCTGCTTGTGTGGAGGGAATCCAGCAACTGTGTGAGACAGTAGCTTATAAAATTGTCTTCCATGATCTCAGTAATGTTCTATGGGATGATTTGTATGTTGGGGAACTATCTTCCTCTAGGATTGACCCTTTTATTGAGGAGCTGGAAAAGAATTTGCTGATTATTTCGAACACTGTGCACGAGAGAGTTCGTACGAGGATTATTACCGACATAATGAGAGCTTCCTTCGATGGATTTCTATTAGTTTTGCTTGCCGGCGGCCCGGCTCGCGCATTCTCCAGGCAGCATTCTCAGATTATAGAGGATGATTTCAAAGCCCTTAAAGATTTATTCTGGGCCAACGGGGATGGCTTGCCTTCAGAGTTGATTGATAAATTTTCAACCACAGTGAGAAGTGTGCTACCCCTTTTCAGAGCCGACACAGAGAGCCTCATCGAGAGGTTCAGACGTGCGACCTTGGAGACATATGGCTCCTCTGCCAGATCTAAACTCCCACTTCCTCCAACTACCGGACAATGGAGCCCGACCGAGCCAAACACGATCCTGCGTGTTTTGTGCTCTAGGAACGATGAAGCGGCTTCTAAGTTTCTGAAGAAGACTTTCAATTTGCCAAAGAAACTGTAACCAACTCAAATTATGCCATAAGGCGCGCAAGGCATGCCGTTTTTGCACAGTTTATTCGCGCAACATTTCTTGCAGTTCTGCTTGTATGTAGTGAAGATTATTGCCTTTGTCATATACTCTTATACATGGGTGAGTGGAAGGAGGTGGGTTTTCCTTCGATAGTATCACTATCCCGTTGGAAACATCATGGGTCAACTTGAGGAGTCCGAAGAGAATTGAAGAACAAGATGGATGGTTGGATATTCTTTTATCATTCGTTTTGACTCTTTTTTTTTTCAACTTTTATAATATCCTGTTAATGTTATACATTTATTTTTTTTTACAACTTAGAAGGTTCTTTGCCGTCTATTTAATTGTTCGTTTCCTCTGAGAGGACACTGTATGAATCTCTACTTTCTAGTCCATCGTCTTCTTTGCTAGGTACACGGTATAGCATAATTATGTTGATTCTGGTACTGTTGTTTATTATTAGCATGTAATATACATTATACGGCAAGCCGTTTGTCAGTTGCCGTTGAGGCTTGAGAATACACTTCTATTGAAACTGAGATTGCTTTGGGTTCCCCACCCCCCCTTTTTGTGATAGAAATAGTGTTACTTGTGTTTTACCAATTCTAAAGCAACATTCCATCACTTCAGGGTTTTGTAAGATTTAGACATCATTCATCTTATTAATTCAAATTTTTAATTTTAATTTTATTACAGTTAAAAATTTTCACAAAAAATCGCACAAGTTTTTAATTTTAATTTTATTACAATTAAAAATTTTCATAAAAAATCGCATCTAATTTTTTCTATTATAGTGAAAAATTCACATAAAATCACATCTTAATTCGAATTGAAAACTCAATCGACGAATTAAACGAGACTTTAGTTTTCAACCTTTTTTATACAAAAGAATTGTATTGCACTAGCTTATGAAAGAAATATCAATTCTTAATGTAAATATATTCCATTTTTTAAATGAAAATGTAACGCAACACGGAAAAGAAGCATCCAATTCAGGTCTTGCGAAGGAGAAAAAAAAAAAAAAAAAGATTATCTATATCCCAGCTTAAATAGTCGACAGAATAGCTTCTCATCCTACAAACCATATTACATAACATCAAGCGTAAAACCATTTTTCTCTCTTCAACCCCTTAGATGGATTAAGCAAAAGTACAACAACAAACCCTGATGCAGCTCTCTTCTGTCATCTGGTTCTCGGAAACATAGGCTGCAAATTTACAACAGGTACACCGACTTCAAATCCTTTACAATGAAGAAGCTCATTTTTAGATTTGCCGAACCGTGTTTGCTTGAAAAGCTGCATGGACATCTTCCATACAAATACTGGGACTTCCATCGAAAGAAATTATCTAGATGCCCTCCAATACGCCTCCATATCACGGAGCCGCTTCAATAACAGGCTAGTTCATGGGAAAGGAAGCAACTTTATTCCTCCAAGATAGCGCGTCCGAGATTTGTGGCAAGAGCTAGCCTGACAGAACTCAAGGCCTGCGGTGGCAAGTCCACTTCAATGAAGTCTGGACGCAGCTTTGCCATGGATAACTCTTGCAGTTTGTTCAATAAGAGATTTGTCTGAGAAACACTTAGCAAAGGACGCTCCTGCCAATTAAGCAGCTTCAACTGCACAAGAGGTAATACAACCAGAAATTTTGGCACTTGAGGAAAAATCCAAGTATGAACAGAGATACATGTAATATTTAGTTGTACATGCAAAATAATAATAATAATAATGATGATGATGATAATAATAATAATAAAGAAGAAACAGTACAAATAAAAGAGGTCAATCAAATGAAATAAATCGACACAGAATGCCAACTAAATTGCTTGCCCGTCATGGAAAGGTCACATGTAGCAAGTGACTATGCCATAAAGTTCAGAGCAAATAAGCCATAAAGTTCAGAGCAAATAAGCCATAAAGTTGGGCACCATTTGACTACAGCTAAAAGCCTATGAGACATTTGGATACCATTTTAGTCAAAGAGCTTACCGAGTCATACAACAGAGGCAGCCAAAACTGCTGAGGTGTAGAAGGGTTTTTCATAAGCTGTAGGATCAGGGAAAAAAAAAAAAAGAGTAAAGAAATATAGGACTACAAATACAAATCAAGCATTATAAGAGACAACAAAAATGGTATGATCAAGTATTTTATCTCGTCTTGAGTAATGGCAATTGACTAGGGATAAATTGTAGCACAACCAGGATATCGTGCATCTATGCGTATAGACCCTTCCAGTATAAGCTTATTTTACAGACCCATTATATTTCCTGAGGATGCTAACTCTGGACATCAGAGGTCGGAAAGCACTACTCTTTCAATTTCTTTACAGAACGACCATGTCATATTTGAAAATGAAAGGAAGCAGCACCAATCACGTAAAGTGTAAGCATAGGCATACCGATATCAGTGATTCTGCAGCTTGCCTAGAAGCATCAGTAGTTTTTCCCACTTGAACCTGCTTGAGCGACTTTTTAAAATCCCTATACCTGTAAGAAACCTAAAAGTTAGAACCAAGAAAAGAAATAAAACTGATGACAAAACTCATTGCTTGGGAACTGCTTGAGTGACAATATGTTCATACTTGTGTAAGAAGTCAAGGCCGCCGGCAGTCTTAGACTCAGAACCCAACAATTCAATTAAGCCTTCCCATTGCTGTATAGAAAAAGGATAGGCGAGTAACCCATGAAATATAATTGAGTTTCCTCATAAAGGCTTCTTCATTTTCGGAAAGTGACATGAACAAGAGGAGAAAAAGATTAACTAGAAACCCATTGGTTTTGGAAAGGTAATACCTTGAAGCTCTCATCAGATATTGACTTTCCAACGGAATCAAAAAGGTACTTAGCAATCCTGTTAAGACGAACTTCATCCCGAGCTTGCTGAAGCCAGAAAACTCCAGCACCTTTTCTACCATGCTTCCAGTGATATACACCAGCAACCTAAACAGTGAAAAACTTTAGGAGGACGCACCTTTTAGGGTAAACTTCATAACGCAAAGCATATTCCATTTTAATTATGTTCCTGGCCAATTGTAGAAAAGCTGGACAAGAGTTTCACAAGTCTTCTAGTCATAACCCTATCTTTTCTTTTGTTGTGCTTGTGTCCACACCCATGTGTGTGTGGTGTGTCTCCTATGTGAGTGCATGCATGTTGTCTAATATATTTTTTTTCTTTTTGTCTTCTCCCATTGCAATGGCACAAGATATTGGCACGAGTTCGCACTTTATATTGTTTAAGCAAAACAAGAAAGGAAAAAAAAAGGGTACTTTCCATTGAACTTTATGCCTTCCAATCTTAGCATTGCATATATAACGACTGCCAAGTGCTTCAATCATTCAAGCGTGGAGTATTTCCTAAATTCCTCTTTTAGTATTAGAGTATAATACTGAAGGCGGAACTTAGAACACATATAAACATGATTGATATACCTTCATAATGTTTGAACTAACGCTGTCAAGGTCATATAAACGGCATATCTCTATATTCTGCAGGAAGCATAAGAATATTTTATTTTATCAGCCACATAAAATCCAGAAAAACAATAGATAAGCAGGAAAAAGTAAAACCCAGAACGAAGATTGAACTAAGCACCTTAAGAAGCGTTTCGTTATGTTGAACAGGTTGCTTACATAATAAAAGCTCTAGCAACCCCATTCCCTGCTTCATGCAAGATATCAGGTATACAGGAGCAATCTGTAGACATGAAAGCATCCAACTGCATAAGGTATACTACGCAATTAACATATGTAGCGTATGCTTGCATATGAGAGATTCAGATCTGAACAGAAAATAATTAACGCCTGAAAGTTAAAACAGATAATGCAGATCGTTGTCAATTGTCATCCCATTAGCACTTTATGTACCTACTGTGGAAGTTCTCCAAAAATTTTCAACCAGAAGTCATAGTCAGTTATAGTAGGTTGAATTTGAATCTTAATCAGTAATTATGCTTAGTTACTTCAATTTGGTTAAAATTAAAGACTTATCTAATAATCTATATATCCATTCAGAAACACAATTCTCATGAACTCTTATTAATGAAAAAAAAAGTCCCAAAAACCATCTATAAAGGGAATTTTGTTTTAAGTAACCAACATCTAGTAAATTGATCCACATGCCGAAGAGATATATATTTAACTAATTCTCACTCACTTGCCAAGTCAACACATGTGAAGCCAACACTTGAGCATAGACAAGACGGTGTAATTCAGCTATACTCATTTCCCCCAAGTTATCACGCTCTTCATGTAAAAGAACTTCTGCTTGATCACTTCCAGCAGTCATCAACTCGGTAGCATGTGCAACCATCCTAATGAAGAGAAATCAAGGTTGCTTTAGAAAACATTAAAAAAAAAAAAAAAAAAAAAAAAAAAAGAAAAAAAAAAAAAAAAAACATCAACTCGGTAGCATGGGCAACCATCCTAATGAAGAGAAATCAAGGTTGCTTTAGAAAACATTAAAAAAAAAAAAAAAAAAAAAAAAAAAAAGAAAAAAAAAAAAAAAAAGATGAGAAGAAAAGAGAAAAATGTGTTTATCCGTTATCTAACAAGTCATGAAAAAGAGATACAAACACAAATTGAAAACAAAAATAAAGGTAGACATGGAGCAGCTCACCAAGGGCCAAATGCTCTCGAGCATTCTGCCAAGACAACCTATATCATCTCAGAAAACATTTTGGGTTTAGAGAGGAGGAAAGCTAAAAGAGCAAGACAAAATTGATACTGGTAGTCTCCAATAATGCATACCTCAGTATTTTCTCCAAGAATTCCAACCATAAGTTCAATCAACCTGTGGGTACTGGACATTGGTTTTAACTGCATGCATTTCTGGGCTAAGCTATTCATGCTTTCTAGACCCTGGTTTATAAGAAGGGGGAAGAGGGAATAGTTTCCCACATCAAATCCTGCTACAGACAAAACAATTCTGTTCATAGTAAGATGAAACGATGGATTACCACTGTGAATGGCCTGATGTATAGAAGGTGTGAAATATACAGTTCTACCCAATGGCATGTTGCAGCAGAGAGACTGTTAGTGTTTCCAAGCATGATTTGTAGCATATTTTTCAAGCCCTCCCGAGTCTGAAGGTGATCACACTCAACCCAGTATGCACTAGAGTCCAGCTTAGAAATTTGTGCCCGCCATTTTTCCCACGCCTAAGAAGAACTTGGGAGTTAAACAGCAATGAAGGAAAAATCCTATTATACAATAAAACTACATTTTCAACTGACAAATATACCTTCATAAAATCAGGCTTCGCCATAAAGCATTCACCGGCCTTTCCTTCTGCCAGTTCCAGGCGCATGCGAGGCATTTTTGAAATAAGAACTGCAACTGCCTCCACCAGACCGTTCTCTGTCTGCTTAGATCCATAAAGAACATACATCACATTATATTAAGCCATGAAAATTGAAATTCTGATAACATCGTTAATGATTGCCAAAAGGTGCATAATTGTCATGGAACAACAGAGAATAGATATGTTGCAGTTCGGTTATGCACATCAATGGAATAGAAACCACTATAAAACTAACTCAAAAGATGATAGAAAAGAATGTGTCTTATTTTTTAGGTTAATAGAGCAAAAGAAACAGAAGCTATAACAGACACTCCACGCTCCCAAGTTTTAACCAGCAGGTCCATTGACGATAGCATTTATATTATCTCCAACAAACCTTGGGGTGAGTTTTGGGATTGAGTCTGCTTTTAGTTTTCATGTCAATCATAATCCAAAACTATCCCTTCCTAACTACACAAAAGTGCTTTAAGTTCATTGTTTTTTTGTGAAGTGTGTATTGGATTTTTGTACCGTTCACTTCTAGGTATTATATTTTTGCCAAACATAATTGTAGCTAGAATTTTGTGCAAAAGCCCAAAGCACCTCTCATAGAGCCACGTCCAACAGAATAATGGAAAATCTAAAGGTTAATATAGATGGATTTCGATAAAATATGTTCTTGATGGCGCAGAGCCCATGACTTTCGGACACCTAATTGACAATGCGGGGTGAAATAAACTGAGATAAATAAATTTAGATGAAAACAGCGAGCAGCAGGCCATAATGTTATAATCATGCCTCTCAGATGTCTACAAACCTCGCGATTTCCAAGCTGATCTAGTTCATATGATCCATGTAAGCGCAGCATTTTCACCTGCAAGTGGATCACCAACATTTATGTAATGCTTTTTGGTATCAGTAACAGACAACAAAAAATAACCAAGAGTAAAACAGAAACTCTGCAAGAAATATGATAAGATTTAACCGGTTAAGGCACAACAAAAATGAAACTACTGACCACTAGTTCCAGCCAGCCAATTGCTAGTGCCGATGATATCACCTCCCAATATTTAGGATAATCTTCAATAACCTGCATAAGATATCTCAAAAACGTTCACCATTTAAGAGAAACAACAATTAAAAAGAAAAATTCATCAGTGTGACCTATAAAACAACTGCACTAATATAAATTGAGAAATAGACTGCTATATGAGCTTCAAGCTTTTTTGTGTTGAACAAATCCATATCAAACTCATAGAATCTCCATCAACTTTGCACTCTCGTGTATATTAAAAAAGGGATCTCCTATTATCATTTGTCTGAAAGAAAAAATGAAAGAAAGAAAATAGGCAACAGGAAGAGGAAATGAGTGGAAACTGGAAAGCAGAGTAGAGTTCAGACCTGCAAACTAACAAGTTCTTTCTGAAAACCCACAAGTTTTGAATGAACTGTTGTCTGAGTACTGGAAAGGAGGCAATCATAATCCTGCCACAAGGCATAAGTACACATTTAGCAGAAACAAGTGACTGTGTGTGTGTGTGTGTGTGAAAACAGATTCAAGATTGCAAATTTCAATCACATAAAGGATCAGGAAGCAGAAAAAAAAAATCATTACAGTTAACCAATCAACAAGGCGCTCAGGTAGCCACGGTTGAGATTGTTTGTCTGCATAAAATATTTCCATCAAATCCCATGCGGCTTTTAAGGATGTAGGCTCCTCAACTGTCTACAAAAATGTTCCAAGATTAAATACAACTAGAGAAATTAACTCTACAACAAAGAACCCTAACTCAGACCTTGGTGGGTTTTCATGCTCATCGATTACAAATAGCGAACTAAAAACATATATATGAACTTCGTAGATTCACCTTTACAATCTCCCTCGGGTCTTCGATCACAGTACCGGAAGGCGATTTTCGATGGCCAAGAAGTGAAACAATGTCCTTGCTATACTCCATTACGTACTCCCACCTTGTTTTATCCGAAAAACAATCAATGTGAATTATACACATGAACAAAAGCTTAATCCTTTATACTGGTCATCTAACATGTAGAAATTAAGGATTTTCGACAACGTTACACCTTTCTAAAAAGAATCGGTCTCAGAAAAGACTAAAGACAATCCAAATATACCAAATCGCTTACTACATTGTAGGGGAAAAAAAAAAAACCATGCGAGCTATACCGAATTGCTTACCAATCAACGTGATAATGCGAAGGACTGATCGACATTTTCGACAAGCTCGAAACGGAGCTCCTCCGGCTCTGGAGGAGCGCAAACGGCGTGACGGAACCGTAAGCGATCCTCCGCCACTGCGCGTCACTGATCTCAGCGTCTCCATTGCTGAGATTCACCTCCACCACTCTCCCGCCGGCTTCACCGTCGTCGGAAGGTTGCCGGAGAACTGAAACGCGAAGCGTGTTGCCTCGGGACCAGGAGATGGAAAGGCGAGCGATCGGAGGCTTGAGACCGTGGCGGAGAGCGTACACCGCGGAGTGGTTCGGAGCCTCCGGTGAGAACGGGACAATAGAGCCGTTGGAGGAGGAGTCCGAGACGCCTCGGGTGTCGCCGGAGAAGGGAGCGACGACGGGCATTTCGCCGGAGAGGCGAGAGAAGAAGTTGGGAATAGGGCTTTGGAAGGGTTTGAAGCGAAAGTGTTGGGGCTTGCAAATTGCAATAACGCGACGCGCCAGAAAAAGATTTTACAGAAACGACATGTCGCTTCTGTTTCACCAGCAAATTGTTGGGGAAACAAACCATATGTCGTTTTATGATAGAGGACAGAGAAAAATTACTCGAAGAAGTATGTCGTTCTCAGCCTCTCATAGGTTTGAAGAGAAAAAAGCTATTACAGAGCAACAAGTTATATTCCAATAAGTACACATCATTACAGAGCTGAATTTATTTATTTATTGATGGTGGCTTGAACACAGTGGATTCATATCAAGAAAAAGCCACAGAAAACACCAGACACATTAAAAATTAAAGATACTCAACAAGGCTGAAGATATTAGTTCCTTTTGGATTTGGAGTACAACACATAAGCCTACTGATCAATTTCATGGAGGAAAAAATGAAAATTTACTGCTTTGCCTTAGTTTCCCTTTGAGAGACATTCCTTTAAAGCCTCCAAGACCCTTTTCTTCATGATCTGATCTTTAACACCCGAAAGCATGTTCCGATAGAACATTTCCAGTCTCATAAGCTTGGCACGATCCGCTGATTCTAACATATTTTCCCATTCCTTTGCTATGTCAAAAGTGCCTGAATTCAGCAATGAGGTCGGGATATCTTTCTCTTCGTAGGGTTTCCCGAAAATCGAGTGATGAAGTAGGCTAACATACTGTTCCATTGTTGAAAGTCTCAACTGAAGAGCCTTCAACTTTTCATCTGCTTCAGCAACTTCTTGAGAATCTTTTTGCTCCTCGGTACCCTTGTCTTCCTCACCAACAGTCTTTGTTTCCTCTTGCTTAGGATCCTCTGTTAGTTCAGGCCATGACACCGATGTGGGCGTGAGACAGTCAGTTGTGATGCCATTTCCGAGAACCCCACTTCTTCCCCTGCCCCAAGCCCACAGCTTATATCCATCATTTCCAACTAGAACAGTATGAGCAGCTCCGCATGTGACTTGAATCGGATTTTGAAATTTAGCATTCTCTTCACTGCACGAAATAAGTAGTGGAGAGGTAGCATCTCCAGAAACTGCACTTACTCTAGCGTCCGGGCAAAGGCCAAGACCCCTCTCCATTCCCCATGACCACACATCACCAGCAGATGAAACAACACTGGTGTGGAACAAACCACAGTCGACGGATATCAGATGCACAGAATCAGGCAATTCTTTGACGTGTTCAGGAGAAACGGTACTTTGGGTGGTTCCATGTCCAAGCTGGCCGTTTTCTCCAAGGCCAAACGTCCAACACGCGCTTTCTAGTGTGCCATTCGCTCGCTTTTTGTGCGTAAGCAAAGCTGTGTGAAAAGCCCCACACGCTACCTCATAAGCTGCCCAAGGGGAATCCTGGTTAAACGTTTTGACGATTTCAGGGCGATGCCTGCTCTCTCTATCTCCGAGGCCTAATTGGCCGTGTTTGTTGGTACCCCAAGAGTAACATACAATAACTTCTCCTTTATGCACTTCTCCGGCACTAACTAGAGCCACAACATGTTCATTTCCACATGCCACCTTCACAACTGCGTGGCCAAGGAAATCTCGAACAGGAGTCGGTGTGAAACTGCTTACAAAAGAGAAACCGCCTTCGGGGCTACTGTTTTGCTGTAGATAATTGCCCCATATCCAGAGGGCTCCTAGATTGTCAATTGCTAGAGACGTCATTCCTCCAGCTTTGATATTAGAAACCTGACAAAAACAAGGGGGTAACAATGATACAGATAAGGCTTTCTCTTTAGGTTCTTATCAGCATCAACATAATATGGTTTTTTTCATACCTTATTCACTGTTTTACTCTTTGTTTCTGAATCGTCTGTAGAAGAATCAGGATTACTCGTGTTGAGAAACTGCTCCAGCAAGCAGGGCTTCGCAGAATTCTCTCCATCAAAACCAAGTTGGCCATCCATTTCAAAGTCAAGGAAGTAAGTGCAGAAGAAAAGAGAGAGAATATGTGAAATGCGAAGAAAAAATTGGTAACTAAATTTCGTAACCTTTGATATTGCTGAAAAGATAAATATACTTCCCTTATAAAGGATACAGATGTTGTAGCCCCATGACCAAACTGATCCATCATCTGCCATCAGAATGCAGACATAGAACTTGAAAGAGTAAGAAATCACCTCCATCAAGTTGTTTTATTGCTTTTTCAAGTTAAAAGGTAGCTTTTGTTAAAATACGGCGCAAACATATCACGTGTTCTGTAGTTGTTTATCTTCGATGCATATTATGTCATATGACTTGGTGATATTTAGTTCAACATAAACATTAAAAAAAATGGTTATTTTTCTCCAAAAAAAAATGGTTGTGTTGATAAATGTTCAAATTCATCTAGAACGCTGCTCAAGAGTTAAACATGCATTTTCCTTTTTCTTTTTTTTTTTTCATAGAAGACGTTAATCACACATGAAAATGAACTAAACCCGTGAAAAATTTTGAACCTTTATCATCCTTGGGCAATTAATTTTCACAGTAAACAATGACCACAGTGTTTATTAAATTTTTCACCGAGTGAAAGATTTTACAGTGTGCAAAATCTTGATTAACCAGTCAGAAAAAGAAAAGAAAAGAAAAGAAGAAATATCATGAGGCTTCACACGATTTATTTAGAAAATTGACATCCGATAAATTTTCTTAATCCAACCCAATTAACTCATTCTGAAGGAGTTGTTTAACTGAAGGAAATATTAGTATATACAAAATAAAGCAGTAACCACAGAAACATCATAAAGCAGTAACCAAGTTCAACTTTCAAACGAAAAAATCAAAACAAAAATTGAGCCAAGGAAAAACAAAGTTATGAAGACAATAGAAAGAAGAGAACCTGCAACAGCAAGAGAGTGATAGGCACCAGAAGCAACCCCCACAAACTTGATTCTTGTTTCTTCTGAATTCTCAAACTTAACCTCAACAGGTGTAAGCTCATCTGCTTCTTTGCCCGTTCCAAGTCTCCCAAACATCCCTCTTCCCCATGAATATATTCTCCCGTCCCCTAAAATTACAATCAACACCCCATAATTAATTCCATAGTAGTGATTATATTGATAAAGAAAAAAGATTTAATTTTGACCATGAAAATGACATAAAATTAAATTAAATTAAAAAAAGGGGAAAAAAGCTCATCTGGGCTCAATTTAAGTATCAAATTAATACTTGGGTTAAGTTCATACGAGCCAGGACAACATTGAAATGTCATCAATTATTAATGTCTGCCATCAGGTTGTTTTGGGTAATCTTTTTTTTCATTTTTTTCAGAAATGAGGTAGATTTACAAATAGGGAAATGATCAAACATGGTTTTTAGCTAATAACTCTACGATTCAATTTCTCTATTCGTAGCCCCAAAAAAAAAACACCTTTATTTGTAGAGATTTTAAGTGGTGAGTAAGTTGAGTAGAGTTATACCCGTGAGAGCGAGAGTGTGAGCTTCACCGGCGGCGACGGCGACGACTTTAGTGGACAACTTGCCGGTGTCCGCCATTATTTGCGGCGACCAGACACAGACAGTGCAGATGGGCTGCTTAGCTGGAAAGAAGATTATCCCCACAACCGAATTTGCGGAACATACTACAAAAGGCACGCACTTCTATACTGTTTTTCCCTCTCTCTTCTTTTTCTTTTTTTTTTTTTTTAACTGTGTTGTTTTTTCATTTTCATATCGTTTGTCGGTTACTGTCGTTTCGGTTCATGTTGCTTTTTCTATTCTCGTCGTTTTCCAATATCATGCCGTTTGCGAGTTGTTTCATTTTGTTTCCAGATTTTGTAGTATCCAAAATTCAGGTTGCTTTTACAAATAGTGTTCACGTCGTTTCATTTAATGTTTGTTTTTTCGGTTGATGTCGTCCTCCAATATTATGTTTTTTTGTCAAGCTATAGTCGTTTTTTCTTTTGATCCGGTTTTTGAGTTAGTTTCCCTTTTTTGTTGTTTTTACTTTCATGTCGTTTTCAATTGATTTTGTTTATGAAGTCCTTGTCGATTTTTCAGTTGAGTGTCGTTTACCAGTTGTTGTCCTCCCCAAACTTCATGTCGTTTTCCAGATTGTATCATTTGAATTTGATATCGTTATAAAATCTCCTATCATTTTTTTTAAGGTAAATGTTGCATCATTTTGGCCTATACTTGACGTTGCGATTACCTACTTACAGCATATATAGATGTATCTTACTGTCTTTTAACGATAATGCACTACACCAAACAAAAGAGAATACGAACGAGCCTGTCAAAGCTAACATAAATCGAAGGATACCAATCATGATAGGGGACGAAAATTTTCAACTAAACATTAATTTGTTCCACTTCAGAACTATTTATAGTTAAGCTGTAAATTAAAATGTCTTAATTACAAATGAACTAAAAACTAACCAAACTATCAATTTAAGCCATTCATCAATTAAAACTACATTACGTTCTTAACCAGCACAAAGACCCCCACCGGCCATATTACCAACATTGTCATTATCAACATCCTCATCAACATAAGCCGCCAAGTTCAAGTACTCCTCCTCCTCCACCGCCGCCGCAGCCATCCCCGCCCCCTCCCTCCACCTGGCGCGGCATATCACGCAGCAGACCGCCCTCTTCCCGCTGTTCCTTTTCCACCTCGTGAGGCACTCCTCGTGTATCGGATTCCGGCACGTGGCGCACGCCACCACCCTCTCCTCCTTTGACATCTCCTCCAAGCAGATCGGGCAGCTCGTCCCCTCCTCGAACGCCGGTCCTACCGCGGCAGAATTAGCCCGATCGCTGCGGGGATGAAAGAAGAGCTGGTGGAAGCGGCGGCGGAGGCCGGGGGAGGCGAGGGAGTCAGGGAGGGTGGGGGAGGAGAGGAGGCGGGAGAGGAGGCAGGGGCGGAGGGTCCGACGGCGGAGGCAGGAGTCGTCGAGGGAGACGCCGAGGGCGCGGATGAGGACGAAGAGGATGTGCTTGCATGGAGTGGCGCGGTCGGGGCAGGTGCAGCTCGGGGTGGAGGAGAGGGTGACGGCGTAGACGTTGGCAGTGGCGCCAAGGACGAAGAATGTGGCTGCGTCATCGGAGCGGTGGAGGAGGAGGAGGCGGTGGTGGAGGGCTCGGACTATGCGGTTCGTGATAGGCTGGGGCGGCGGGCCGAGGCGGCGGCGGTGACGGTGGTTTGGTGGTGGGGATGAGTTGGAGGCGACGGACTCCATTTTTTTTTTTTTTTTTTTAAATTGTGGAGGGAATTAGGATGAGAATGGCGGTTACGAGTTACTACAGTTGGTGAGGGTGAGACAGTTATATCATACATATGACAATATTAACTATGAGGGGAATAAAGAAGGAATTCGTTGAGTGGAAAAGAGGGATACGTGAGGGATAGCGGGGGAGTAGGCCGCAGGGAAAGGACGTACGATGGAGTGGATCATGGAATGGATGGTGAATAATACTTCCAAGTTTTATTGGAGTCGGTTTTGGTTTATGGTAGACCTTAAGGCACGTATTATGGGCACTACCAACAATTTTGTGTATTTTTTAATTAATTTCTTATTGTTATTTAAAGTACTTATTATGGTGTAATGTCCTATTGGTATATTTATTAGAATTTTTTTTTTTTTTGGGTTAATGTCCTATAGGTATATTTATTAGAATTTCTTATTGTTTTGGTTATGGTATATTTATTAGAATTGTCCACAGGCACGTGTACACTCCTATATGACCAGAAGTTTAAGCAAATATTCCTTACACACAGCATGCAAGTGCTAAAACTTTACCGAATTGTTTGTTTTATCCCACGTGTCATTTAATCTATTCGTTTTGGCTTTCCTGTGTATATGAAATGTAAACCATAAGCACCTATAGGATTTACTTATTATGAAGAATTGGATACTACTGGGAACAATAAAATCGTAGATACAAACCAAACAAAAAGAATATATGGCCTAATTCATTTCACCGATTCGAGTTTAGAATTTGAGTTTTATTACAGTAAAAAGTTTTAAAAAACAGTCAAATCTAAATTTTTTATTACAGTAAAAAGCTCTCATAAAGTCACATCTTAACTCAAATTAAAAGAGAATTAAATGTGCCCAAAATTTATCACCTTAAGGTGAGACTACACCATCTTTTAGCTACAGTAATAATATACTATGATGGAAAAAAAATTACAATAAAAAAATTGCACCTCTAAATTTTATTTTTTGGTATTTTTTCTAACTTTTCTCATAACCCCAAGTTTGATATGCGGATTCTTTCGTAGAAGGCAATTATCGTGAAAACACCAACAACAGTAAAACAACTTGTAAGGTTTAATTTTATTACTTCATTTTAGAATTTATAATACCTACTTCAAACACAACAATACTCGACTTGAGTGATGATTTTAAGTTGAGTTTGAGTTGAAGTTGTAACTTGAGTTTGTGTTTGAATGTGCATATTTGAGTTATGATTTGAATTGAGAATCTTTTTGAGTTTGTGTTTGGGTGAGTCAAAATTTAAATTTCTATTTAGATAGTATTTTAATAAAAACTCAATGGTGATGAAAAATTTTAATAGGGTATATGGATGAGGTTTTATTCGTCTTTTCGTTATGAATGCATCGAAAAAAAATCATCTCAATCAGAATTAAAATGAAAACGTTATGACATTTTTAAGAATAGAAAAAATATTGTTCATTAACTTGAGTTCGAGTTTATGAACTCGAGTTGAGGAAAACTTGAACTTGAGTTTAGCCCTAAACTCGAGTTCAAACTCGAATTCAAACTCGAGTTCAAATTTAAATTTTATAAAAGAACATGAACTTGAATAAAATTGTAATTTGAATTTAAATTTTTTATGAGTTTTGTTGTAAAAGAACAATCTCTTAGATTTTTGAACAGTTGCACTTTTGTCATATGGTCATTTCATGTTTAACCTATACTGCTTTTAAATCAACGTTCTAATTTGACATGTGAAATTCTGAAAAATAGATAAGTGAAGTTTCAAAATTACTGTTTTGATTAATGACATACGAGAACTATAATAGTTAAAAGGATATTAAGAGTAAAAAATAAAACTTTTAGAATAATATACCAATTATATATATATAATTTAAAAAAAAAAAAGACCTCGAGCCGGGCCGACCGAAAATACTTTTGGGCTTACTATCGGCGTGGCGTAGACACTAGAGCGGGAGTTTGAACAGGACCAATAGTAACGGTCTTCGGATCGATCCGTTTGGTCCGGCCCGTAGCTCCCAGATTTCTACAGTCTATCCGTCCACTCTGCTACTCTGCTTGTCAACTCTCAACTTCGAGAAAACAGAAAACCGAAAATTGTTTTCTTCGCTCTGTACCGCACCGACCCATGTTCGGTTCGTTCAGGAACCCTTCCCAGCTTCAAAGGAAGGTATTAAAATTTCCCCTTTTACTATTTTCCGAAATGGGTTTCTCAGCAACCAAACAGTTGAGTTCTTCATTTTCCGTAATGGGTTCGTCTGGACCTTCTGTTTGGTTGCCAAGAAAGTACGTTTTCTATCGACATAGAATAATAAATAATTCTATAATTTAGTTCATTTCGTTCTCAGACACTAAATAGAATTTATGTGCAGCAAAATCAAGATAAAGAAGGGTTAACCTCGAGTTTCAGGCCAGAGAATTTCATCCCAGGAATTGTTATTGGTTTCATTTTGGGGATGTTTTTCGATTTAGCAAAGCCAAGTGGGAATCAAACTAACACGAAGAACAAATTGTCATCAGGAAAGGTGCACTCTCAAAGTTTGGTCTCAAATAATGGTGACCAAGAACTTAAAATGGTTCGTCTCTATTCTAATTGCTTTAATTCGATCTTGTCTCACATTTAATGGTTTCTTGACTTGCATATAATTGAAGATAAAGTTGAATTAGTGTCATCTTTTGTTTACTTTTCACGTGTTCATTTTCTTGTATGTGATACAAGATAACCAAAATTCTGCTTAACCTGTTAGAAGGTGGACTATAATTTTCAAGAATTAGATGTCCTAATTCTTTACTACCGAGAGCAATAAAGTTGCAGAAACAAACAAATAAACACGCATAATTTTCAGCCAATCGCTTTCTTTATGTCGGGAATAATTAGGCTCCAAACACTCAACAATATTTGGTCTTTAATCTTTATGTTATAACATCAATGAGTCATAGAGAATACAATAGCATGTCATTTATGTCATGTATTATGCTTTTAACCTTTAAAATGGTTGTCTAAACTCGTGAGAGAAAAGATGAATGGAAAGAATATAAATGATGTTGATACTATTTTCTCACTCGCAGGGAACTTTTAGGTCTTGGTTGTAGAAGTTTGTTAATCATTAGCCAACTTTTGTTTCTTGCTGTCCCATTTTAAAGATTTAATTTTGTTCAGTTAGGATTTTTGTTTGTCAACCGAGTACTATTCGCTTATCTTGTTCGAGTTCCAAGACCTTCATCATGTAGCTTTGCTTATGTATGCTTATTGATTTATTCTCTAATTACTCTTGTCAGGTTCTGGTCGTCAGACAAGACCTAAGGATGAAATCAGGAAAGATTGCTTCGCAATGTGCTCGTAAGACTCTTACTAGTTTGATATTTTCTTTGGATGTTATCTCTCTTTTTATTATTATTATTATTATTATTATTATTATTATTATTATTCTGTTCCATGTCTTGCTGCCATCATTTTTGAACTACTGATATATTTTTCTGATCATTTTGGTTAAATATTTCTTTCACAAACTCACAGATGCTGCAACTGGCATGTATGCTGAACTTGTGCATAGGTGACTATTACTCTTTTCTGGTATTTTAGCATTTAAACTTACTTGAGTTATTATATCTCCTTGCCTCTAATTTCCAACAACTTGCACTCTCTCTTTCTTATCCATGTTTCCCTTTTCTTTTTGTCTTTTTTTTTTCCCCTCTCTGCTAAATCCTAATTGTGGCACTGAATAGGAAGTAAGTGTTTCCAACACAAAAAAGAGACGGAAAAAAACAGAAAAAGAAAAAGAAATCAATAGCTCTTGTATGTGATTAGACACTCTGAGGAGCATTTTTCTCTCAGTAGTTTTTGATGGTCTCAAACCTTTTAATCTTTGTACTATTGCCTTTGTGCTTCTGCCACCATTTTTAGTTTTTACTTGCTGAAAAGCTGTTACTGCAGATCATCTGTAAAATAGGTCCTCGATCTGTTATTTATTCATCAAATGTGCTAAAACTTATATGTCATACCTGCACCATATTGTATTCTTTACAGTCATCGATCTCTTTTGAGACAATGGGAGCAATGTGGGCAGCCGAAAATAGTTGTCACGTGCAAAAATCAACAAGAAATGTTAGTTCTTCCTTGAATAAGAACAGCCTCTTTTTTACCCTTTGTTGGCCGTAGTTATCTATCTGCTTTGAAGCTTATTTTTTACTTTTTTATTTTCTTCTTTGTCTCCCCTTTAGGAATAGGCTGAAAGAAGATGCCGAGAGCATTGGCCTTCCTACTTTCGTTGTTGCTGATGCTGGACGGACACAGGTAATTGTGGGTTATTCATAGAGGATAGTTGTTGTTAGTATGAAAAATCTTAAAAAGTAATTAAAGTTCAAACGATAACAAGTTAGAAATTTTTGTTTGAAACTCTAAGATATCATATTTACTCTTTTAATGCTACACATTGTGTACATTGGTGTGTTCTAGCTTCTAGTATTCAACAGAGTTCTTTCATATTTACTTGCTGAAGCTAAGATGTTACATACGTAGTTATTTGTAAACTCTCTCTCTCTCTGGAAAACAAAAAAGAGGAAGAAATATTACTGCAAATATCTTGACATAACCCTTTATTTAAATCAGGTTTCCGCAGGATCAAACACTGTTCTGGCCATTGGGCCCGGTATGCTTATTTTCTCACTTTGCTGCCTTTTTTTTTTTTTTCCTCTTTTTTACTGACAGAATAACATACAGATATTAGTGCCTATATTGTGGTTGTAGTAGCCTTAATTTGTATATGTGATCTTGTTGTTGAGCAGGACCAAAAGCAATTGTAGATTCAGTGACGGGAAAGCAATGTCTGCTTTGAAAGCATAATTACAACGAGGTTTTTTTTTTTGTTTTTTTTTTTTTTTTTTTTTTTTTTTTTTTTTTTTTTACAACAATCCCAACTGTTAGATTGCTTTCATGCACAAGTGTTACCAATCATTTATACTGACAAAATAACAAATTAATTGCGGCCGAAACGCGATTAAGCCCAAGATGATTTGCACCAAAACTACTAGAAGTAGTATACTTATCATGTGCTCTAATTTATTATAATTATTGTTTTCTTAGGAGCAAACTAGAAAGACCCTTGTTGGCTTGTTGGAGATATAAAAGGAATATGTAGCTGAAGATTTGCATTTTTTAAGTTGCAAGTTAGATGTCTGTCCACAATGAAGAAGTGCTCTCTTGTACCGAAAGTTTCCTTTGAGTAGCACTAGGAATCCCAACTTTTATCTTAATTTTTGATACCAACTCATGTTGAATTGTCATCTTCTTATCATTAGATGCAATTTTTTAATATTAATTGTACAATTTTTTTTTAAATCCACCAATAAAAATATCACAACTCATATCCTAGTTTGCATAGAAAAAATGAGATCTCTAGCATTACTCTTATTCTTATCGTTTTAGTGGATATGAAAACCGTGGAATCTCTTCGCCGTTGTGTTATTTTCTGCCATGTCAATATGATTTGCTCTTATTTGCCAGGGTGAAACATGGTTAATAGTTTTGAACTGCAGAAATCTCCCCCCTTGAACTTTTGCATGGTTTTGCTTCTTGCTTTTATGTATTGGTTTTTGGTACTACCGATCTCAATGGGTTGATTAATTAACCAAGTGAATTAACCAATTGATTAACCAACTGAATTTTGGGTCATGTTCAACTACAAGGTGAAACATACGTATGGAAATAGTAGAATTCACTCTCCCAAATAACTTAAATTAGGTGATAAGATGCTCGGATTCCTATGTTGAATGCTCAATTCAGCGTTATGCTCCATTGTACCTAAAAAAACCGGAATAAAAAGCAAGAAGAAACTTGCTATCAATAAACATGAAGGAAAATTTTTGTGGTAGAATATAAAGATATTTCTATCAATATAATATATTAGATACTTTTAATTCGTCAAATTAGATTGACACCCACATAATATTTTTAAAGTTTTTATTACAGTATTTTTTCTCACATAAATTCACTTTTCAACTCGAGTTGAAAACTCGAACCAACGAAACGAACGAGGCTTTAGTATCTACCTAAAGATTTCTCCATATTTCAAGAGAAAAAAGATCATTAAAAACGTTTCAATGCCATAATTGCACGTATAATTTAACGTTAAATCCACATCATCATATCTCCGTTACTAAGGTCCGTTTAGTTCGCTGATTCGAGTTAATATATGACTTTATGTAAGAGATTTAAACTGTAGTAAAAAAGTTAGATGTGACTGTTTCTAAGAGTTTTTTACTGTAGTAAAATTCAAATCGGTGAAATGAATGGGGTCTAAGATTAATTTTTTTTTTGAAAAAAAAAAAAACGCATCCTAACTCGGTCTTCTACAGACAATTTTCGTCCCCAAAAAAGAAGAGAAAAAAAAGGGGACAATTTTTTTATGTTAAGAGGTTAATTTATGAAGCCAAAACACAAAACCCCACTAAAGCCCTAAGCCCCTTTCTCCTCATATTTCCGTAGCCCTAAGTTCTTTGTCCGCCGTGCTCTCTACTCTCTCCACCAATGGCGTCTCGCTTCAGATCTCTCTCAAAACCAACACTCTCACTCCTCAATTCCGCCATTTCTAGACCTGCCAGACCCATGTCTTCTCTCTCTCCCATCCGCTCTTCTCAAGGCAAGCAAATATATATATATATATATGCACACACACACGTTATATTATATAATGTATTGTTCTCAATTGGGTTCTTCGAAATTAGAGAAATTTTAATCATGGGAAGTTTGAAAATTGTGAATTCAGGTCGGTTCATCAACTGGGTTGTGTTGAATCTCTACTTCCGCTGCACACGGCGGTTTCTTCGGCTCGGCTAACGTCTTGCCTGGGCGTTGATTCGAGGAGTTCGAGGTCGTTGTCTCAGGGTATGCTCTGCAGTGCCAACCCTGGAGTTTGATGTCTCTAAGGTTTTGTGTTTTCTTTTGGTTATCTGTAAGCAACTTTTTTTTAAACTCTATATTTATGATTTGATAATTAGACTTTTAAATCGTTAAATGTGATTATAGTCTCATAGACTCGTACTCTCATTATGTCGATGATGTTTAGTTGTTTACCCTTAATTTACCGATTGAATTGCTATATGTAGTTCGTATTGTTAATGTTATGTTACGGTATTATTTCAATGTCTTTGGAAAGTCATTTTTTATTTTCTCTTTTTAGCATTAACATATTATAAAGTCCAAAGTGCAAATGTGTAAAATATAGCAAATGCTTCGTTAGATTGTTTTGCCCTGTGTTTGACCATGTTTGTCATGCAACTTCTGCTTCATATATATATATATATATATATTTTTTTTTTTTTGTTGATACAAGACATGATTGAACCTGCAACCCCCACCCTACCAAAACCCTCCAGTGCCACTAGAGTAAGAGGTCTTAGGCAACTTCTACTTCATATACTTTGTTTTAACTTTTAACACAAATCCTAAATTTGTTCTGAGGGGAATACAAAATCATACCATGAGTAGTATGGTGTTATGATTTTCTTATTAGAGAAATGGTATGTGTATATCATATGAGTATATCAAGAATTTGGATGAGCCCCTGCTTGAAGTTGGGGTCTTGAAGTATACATATGGATAGCCTCTAGAGATCTAGGCTAGTTGGTTTTTCCTATAGGACGTCCAATCACTGAAGAGTGGTCTATTTTCTATTGTTTTCTATGAAGTTTGAGTTTTCTGGAGCACTTAGGTGTATAGTGTAGGTTAAGATTTTACTCATCAAGGTCAACATCAGAGGAAATTAGTTTGATTTATCATTTAAGTTTTTTTTTTTACATTTTTTAATTTAATTTTGTGTAGGGAGATGGGGTTGGTGGTATGGGAGTTAATTTGGTTAATGAGCCAATTAGTCATCATTTTTTGTCCCTTTAGTACGAGGAGGAAATGAGTTAGAGAAATTGATTGTGTGCTTGATTAGAGATATATCTCACAGAACATGTAGAAGCGCTCAAATTAGTTTCCAAAACTACTTTGCGTTGTTGAAATGCATCACAATGTTTGTTGTGATACATTGCCAGCACCATCTTACATAGGATGGAGAGCTCCAGATCAATCTGGGACTGACTCGAACCACTTAGCTGACTACATGTTGGACCTCGTTGGTGAACCCTAGAAAAATGGACCGATGCAACAAGAGGACTTCCAAACATCGGTAGCTTAGTGCTTTTTAAAAAAATCTCTTCAATCTTTAAATTTTTAGAAGGAAAAAAAATCAAGCTATAGGCTGCATGTTCAGAAATAATGGACAGGTTCACCTTTGTAATTCACACTTCATAAGAAATTCAAGCTCAGTGCCTTCGAGTTCACCTTTGTGAGAAATCTGTATGACGGGTTCATGTTCTAGGATGGTGTTAGTGGTTCTATTGTGGATGATTCAATCTTATTAGTGTCTTGTTTGTTGTTTCAATGGACCAGTCACAGGATCCTACTATGTCATTTCTTACTTACGACTAGATGCAACAGAGTAGATTGGTTTCTGCAGACCTTTTAGTGATTGGCAAGCTGTACTTAATGTGAACTTGAAAAGTTATGAATCTGGTTCTTTATTGCCCAAGCAAGACATTAGAGCTTGATTTTACCCTTTTGGAAGTCAAAGTTTTACTGTAAATATGCTATACACGTTTTTCACTGTGGAGTCTATATATTTAACCGAAGACCTTAGTTCAGTAAAGATTGGCGGGAAATACATTCTGCGTTCAAATTTGCAGTACTTCTTACTTTGTAGGTTTGGCTAAAGGATTATTAACTTGTCAATTTCTATATTGCAAGGTGCTCAAATGTAGTAGTGTCATTCCGGGTTTAGATCGCTTGAAAGATTATCATGAACATTCAATGGTTTTCTTATGGACTTGTGTGCGCAAGAATGTGTTTCAGTAATTTTTCTTGAGTGAGTGAGTGATTGCTAATATTTATGCTTCTTTTAATGTATTCAGAGTTGGGTCTCAGCGTGCCGCGATAAGAGATTTCAGTTAGAAGAAGACAAGAGGTTGGTAGATCTCAGAGTTAATGCTTCTCATGTTGGATGTCCTTTTCATCCTCGAAGTTATTTTTACCGGTCCCCAGAGCTGGGAATATTGTTGCAAGAATCAATCTCAACTCATCTTTTCATAATTGTCGGGGAAATTTTCTTTGAATTTCATTTTGTTTTCATTTGGATTCTCTTATACCATCAATGCACTCGAGTTAGGAATGTCTCACTTGATGAATAAAGATGATGGTCTTCAAGTTTACTCTTTCCTCTATATATATGTATTGGCCATATGTATTTTGGGTCGTGAAATTTGTTTGTTTCCTAGGTCCCTTTCACAAAGGCATTTTCCTCACTTTATATTGTAATTCACTTGGCATTGTTTGCCAAGAATGATTCGTGCCCTTTCATCAATTGTTCATCTTCAATACAAGAAGTAGATTAATGGGATTGTGCCACGTGTCAAAATAGTTAAGGTATGTTTGTTTCACAACTCAAGTTGTATGTGAGAGAAAACACTGTAATAAAAAAGTTAAATTTGAATTTTTGTGAGAGAAAATACATTAGCAATAGAATTTGAGTTGTGAAAAGAACAAAGCCTTAGGGGGCGTTTGGTAGATGGATTTAGAATTATGATTTTGGATCCTGATTCAAAATCAGTGTTTGTTTATAGTGATTTTGAATCATGATTCAGAATTAGTGTTTAGTTTGGATGATTTCGAATCATGATTCAGAATTTGATGTGATGTTTTAAATTAGAATCACTCATGATAATAAAACCATCTCTCTCTTGATTCAAGGTGATTCAAACTCCTGATTCTGAATCATGGTTTTAGAATTATGATTTGAACTCAAAATTATAAATTATGGTTCTGGTTTCAGAATCATGATTAGAATCATCATGATTTGAATTTTCATATCATACGAACTCTTTAATCTTCCATGGGATAATTTCTATTCAAACAAAAAGAAATTGAAAAGTTACATGCAATACAAATTTGCAAGCAAATGGGTTTAAGAAGTGCACGTGAGGGAAGTGGGGGATTTTGATGAGATAACGTCCAATGTCTCCCATTTCTTTGAAAAAGTGCGTCGTCAACAGAGCCCATGTCTCCACAACTACAATACACTGCCATGTGGGACTCTCTCCTTTGCCACAGTCCTTTGCATCTGTACTTTTCTTTTCACAATTATCCTTGCGTCTTGTACAATGCCTTTTTCTTTACTTTTCGTTGTCCCGAATTTTTTTTTTTTTTTTTTTTTTTAAGATGAATTTTTCATTAGTGGGATACACAAAGGGAGGAAGAGCTCATACCCACTACTCATAATCCATCTCCCCTAGGTAAAGACATAATTTGATATCAAGTTCTTGGAGTTTTTGTTTATTTATTTATTGGCAGAAGATCAAATTCTTGGAGTTGATGGTACACCAAGTGCCCTTACCTACTCAAGTAGTGATTAACTTACCTCCTTGTAGAATTTTTTTTTTTTTTTTTTTCATAGAACTGGGGTTGGGAGATTCGAACATCAAATTTTAATAAGTCAATGATTTTGATTCATTGATGAGAATTTTATGAGAGAAAATTTTAGAATTCAAATTTTTTGTGAAATAAAAAAATTATAACTGAACTCAAATCATAGTTCAAATATACTTACCAAACAAGTCTATCAAGTCCCACTAGCATCGAAAGTCTTGGTCATAACAGGTTCTTTTTACTTTTCTTTTAATTTTTATAAGAGGGTGGTTGTTTTTTAGTTTAGCTTTACTCCCATGCACTTCGATGGATAGGAATCTGTTGGTTCGGATTCTCAAATGGGTCAAACTAGACGTGTATCCTTCTGCCTTTTCTGTTAAAAATCGTATTGTTATCATTAGTTTTAACTTTCAGAAAATTTATTGATTTATCATAGGTTTTTCAAGAGTGAAAATTACTCTTTATAATCTTACATATAACCCCTACCTAGCAATCAATTTACTTATTTTTACCGGTATAATGAAAAGAAAGGATTTAGCCCTCGAATATTATTTATATACTTGGAAAAAAAAAATCTAACAGTTCAATTTTTTTTTTCCTTTACATCATTCGACGGCTATGATTGAAGTGTATAGTACATCTCAAAAGGTGAGATACACCGTATCTTCTTCCATAATATTATGATTAGAAGAAAGTCTCGTTGCTTGATTTGCCGAATCACTAGGAACCATGTTAGGGCAATTGAGGGAAAACTTTAGCTTATAATTAAGTTATAATAAGGGCTGCCAATAGTCACAGTCAGCAGAAGGAAGGTTGTGGAAGGGAGACAATGCCCTATACAATGGGCATGGGAATTTTATATGTATCCTCCATGCATGGAAGCCCATATATACTTGTTCAATATTCAAAACCTTTTATTATGAAGGCGTTATGGTATCTATTGACTGTTCATTCTATTGTACTATTTTTCATGACCATAATCTTCTTAATTGATTTTAGGTAACCAAAAAAAAAAAAAAAAAGATGCATTCATAGTGGATAAGGTTGTTTTGCTCCACCGATAGTAATTGTGTTTCAACTGTTGGATTAGTTTTTTAACGGTCTAATATGTAATAGGAGCAGTACTAATGTGTCGCAAACTATAAATTTTTAATGTGAACATGCATCTGACTATTAAAAGACTAATCTAACAATCAAAAGTAAAAGTTCCTACCAGTGGAGTAGAATAGTTTTCTAACGATTAAAAAAAAAAACTTTTTTCTCTTTAGATATAAAAGATTTGTCTGTGAGCCTTGATAAACTCCAATAAAATATGCTACACAAAATTACCAACGGGGGTAAAATACAGTTAGTTTTATAGAAATGAATTCTACTAGCATTTCAAAAAGTGTGGGATTGAGAAATTTTCACATCAGCCTATGGACATTGGACAATATTTATGTACAATTTCGTACCCTCCAAAAGCTCCTACTAGTTTTCTATTCCCAATATGCACTAATTGCAAAACCTACTTTTTCCTTCTTTATCTTTATTGTTCTTTTCTCTCTTAGTTCTGATTGTGGTTGCGCACGGTGGATCTAATATTGCATGCATATATATATATATATATATTCCTAATATGCAGAAAAAAAAATTGAGTTTTTATTTTTTTTAATACAGCAGCTTTGCAATATATATATATATATATATATATATATATAAGAAACTGAGTTTGTGCTAGTATCCAAAGTGTGAGCATTGAGCAATATTGGTCACAGACTAACCAGTGATCGAAAGAGAGAGTCATGTGACCACCGCAAACTTTGCTTCACTCTCACTATTATACTAATATTTCGCAGAATACAGATATATATATATATATAATTAGTTTTTGAAATTATGTAGCTGTGTTTTGGCTTTATTTTTTATTCGTAGGCTTTGTTCTCTAGCAGAAGAGGAATTAATTTATAATATGACTAGGAATGGATTTATTAAAGAAGCAAAATAGGAAACCAGTAACTGACTTTGAAAAATAGTATATAAATATTTATATATTGCATGTAAATCGCAATGATTAACTAAACAAACATTTGGATCAGCGTTGCCTAGGATCAGGCATACATTGCACCGTGTCGTTTAACAACTTTGATTATAGTTAATTGTCAAATGAATAAAGTATTACGATCAATATCAACATTAAATATTTCTATACATGAATTTATTTTAGAGTGTATATATTACACACGCACAGAGTACTATAAAAAAAAAAAAAAAAAAAAAAAAAAAAAAAAAAAAAAAAAACGACTAGAGTTATGGGCACCCATCAATTGTCATATATATTTACAAAAATATATATGTAACCGGAAAAATACCATACCTTGGTGTCAAATTTTACTCAACAAGAAATATTGATTTTATTCATATCTAAGTGAATATTGAAAAAAAAAATGAAAAGGATACTGATTACGTAAATATCGTTTATCAATTATAGTATAAGCAAATTAATGATCACATCATTTAGTATCTAAATTTTGATAAATTAACGACTCGATATATATCTTAGTAAGTATCATTCTTTGAAGAATTACTTGTTAATATCACCATGTCGCTGGAAAAAACTGAACAAATGTCATCTACTTTCCTCTTTTAATGGAGGTAGCATTTCGAAATATATGATATGATAGCAAGATTTTGATTTTTTTTAATAGCTAGTTAGTTTCGAAGAAATAAGATCAGAATATTTCATGTGTACTCGGAGTCTTAAAATGTGAGGAAATTAGTGCAATAAAGATACCAAGGAATCGTCTACCGATTCAGTTTGGCGGAAAACGATGTGAATATATATAAATATACTCACATACATACATATATATATATATATATATGCGTTGAAGCGAATCTCATGTGTACTCTCTCTCTCGCTTTCTTTTTCTTTTTCTTTTTTTTTCTTTTTTTCCGTAACATTCTCTGAAATGTAGCTAATCCCCACCCGAAAATGCAGGTTTTCACTCAAATTCATGTGCAGTTCCATTAGATTAATATTTTCTATCTCTCTTTCTTTTTTTTTTTTTTTAAAGTTATGAATTAGATTAACCTTTTCTCTCAAAACAAAATCATAGATACAATATCTTTGATCACACGCCTCTTCAATTATTGCTGATCACATAACTCATTCACTCGTATTTTTCAATACTTTATTTGTATACCTCAAGGCCTAATGCCTAAAATAAGATGGAATTAATATTGTAACGACAGCTATTTTATCAAAGACGTGATTAGGAAATTTCATTACATCATCAGTTAATGATTAAACAACTTAACCTTATAAATGCATGAGGTTTCATTAGACACTAGTTTTCAACTTTTCGTTTCAATATAATTGACTTCAGTGGTGAATTATTGGAAATGTTGAGTTGTATGTCTTTCATTTTCCAATGTAAAGAAATATTATATGTGTGTGTGTGTGTCTATATATATATATATATATATATAAAGGAAAGATAAAATTAAGATTCGTAGTCCTATATATTGACTACTTACACTAGTGGTTTGATATATATATATATATATATATATATATATATCAAAGTACATATAAGTAATTGCTGTGAATGAATTCTATAAAATTCACCGAATAAAATAACAATATCCGTTTGTCATTTTACAAATTCATAATTAAAATTTAGGGGGAAAAAAAGATTTCCAAAAATATACATAAGCAAGATATTTTTGCAAAAAGAAAAAGAAGAAAAAGTTTGGACAAGAGCGATGATTCAATAACTGAATCTAATAGAAAACACTATTGCTAGTAGTGAGTTAATGATTCTTTCTATTATTGTCAACCAAAAACTTTTTTATAAGATGTGCACCTAGCTAATAATTGTTGTGTTGTGGAGTAGTAGTATGGGACGATTTGCGGAGGTCCACTCTTTCGTGCATAAAGGTTAAAAATTATCGCTTCGTTTGGAGACCAATCACTTGGATATGTTCGGACATGTATGTCAACCTGTGAGACTGATTTCTTATTGCCACCTAATTAGTGGGCACACATTTAGAAAATCATGTAGCGCTCACATGTACCTAAGTATTGTTATCTTAAACCCCACTCTCAACTACTCAAGCATGGTCGACCATTACAATATTTAGGATATATATATATATATATATATATCTGGATGTTCAATATGTGATAATGAAATACCTTCTCAGAATCTTGCAAGTGCTTAAGAGTTCAAAGAGGAGAATCTAAGAAGTCTTTTTGTTATAAAAATTGTGCTCTATAATTAATGTATTTTTATATCATAATTTATACGCCTCACTCTCATTTGTTCTGAAAAATTAATGAAAGTTTTGCTACACAATTAATTTAGAATGTGTGTATATATATTTAAACGAATTATTTCTAATGTTTTAACTTATTAAATATATAAATTTAATAATAAGTTGTGATAATAATTTAATTTTATTAATTATTATAATTTTTTTTATTAATTATCTAATTTATTATAACAATCTGATCATTAATTAATATTACACGGTTAAAATAATAATGCTACTGATAGATAAATAAATAAATAAATATTAGAACATCCATTAATATATATATGAGTGTGTGGGTTGAATTCAATAGGGTAATGATCTCGTATAAACACTTGATAACCGCTTGATCATCATGATATTGAGCTCATAATTGTTTATGATTATGATTATATGGTTATTGTTATGGTTATAATTGTAATCATTTTGATATAGTACTATGCATATGGGACAAGCACGTGACGGTTGGCAATTGGGTATATTATATAATCATAATACTTTGAACTATGAAGAGCTCAGATGATCAATTGTTCACCACTGTCTTATGGAACCCACAAGAGTACGTACTACTCATCCAACAAAGCTCAATTACTCATACATCAAGTGCCTTCTCGAGAAAATTAAGCAGAAAAATTTTAAGGGAATTAAGTTCCAATTCTGAGAAAACAAATAAAGGAAAAATAAAATAAATTGAGGGTGTAACGAGTTTTAATGAATAATTTTGTTGAATAGTTTTCAAATTTATTTGACCGGAATTAATTAAAGAGGTTGACTATTTTTTGGCTGAATAAAAGAAGAGGTTAATAATTTAGTAATATATATAGTTCGGCTTTTAAACAAAGTAGCTACACCTATGTATTCTGTGTGGTTGGAAAATTTCAAATTACTCTATGCATGGTCGGCTCTTCACAACTATTGAATTTACACATACATTATAACTTGGACTATTAAGAAAACAAAACAGTGTAGATTAATATTAGCAATTGATCGTTAGAGAAAGGTTAATTAAATAGCTTGTTAACTTGTCAGTTCCATTTATTATAAATTCATAATTTTGGACTTGACTTACCTATTTATTAAGTCGGAAAAAAAGGTTCCATTTTTCTATTTATTGTTGTTGAAAATGGAAACCGTGTGTAATTTATTAGAATCAATATAAATTACTTTATTTATTCAAAGTAGATTCTCATGCAATATTCATGTGAACCAAAAAAAAAAAAAAATTACCTGAATTTGAAAAATTGAGTTCAGAGGCCGAAAAGAACAACTCAATCGAAATTGCTAAACCAGTTTAAAAGGAAATTGATCAAAATTAAGTTAGACAAAACAAGAATTATCCTTCTAGCTAAGCTAAAGAAAAAAAAATTGTGAATTTTCCTCTTAAAATAAAATTGAACTGTGTGGCGGTGATGGTGGCCAGTAAATTTAACCCCCCAAAAAAAAAAAGTCTCAGAAATTAAATCTCCAGATTGACTGACTGTTGTTACCGCCTACTCTAGATCATCTGCCTGTAATCTGGCCCCACGTGTTGGTGGATGAAGTAATCCTCGCCGTTGGATGGCGCATGATCAAACACCATTCCGTTCTGATGATGATGATGATGAATGAATTGTTGTTGTTGTTGGGGGTGCTGTTGTTGTTGTTGAGCTCTGAGGAAATCCTTCTGGCGTCGGAGCTCCAGAACCTTCCGGTGCGAGTTCGAGTGCTTTGTCAGCAAGAATGTCGGACTGGCTGGGGGGCGGGGCTCCGGACTTGTATCGGACCCCACAGGCGTTGCAGAGCGTCTTGGGGCCCATAGGCCCCGTCCGCCACTGCGGCGTCTTGTCAGTGGCGCAATGCAGGCATTTCCTCCCCTGCCCGTCGGGACCGGTCCCGCTCTCCTTCTTTTTCGGAGCCGCCTTAACCGTTTTTTTCGCCGTAACGGCCGTCGAAGGCGGTACTGGCGGCGGGACCGAAACGACGACGTCTTGCTCTGGCGAGGACGAGGACGATGACGACGTTGCGGAGACGAGGAGGAGCCGGGACGTCCAGTTGCATGGTGGGGCCCGCGAGCGCTTGCTCCGGGCCTTTGCCGGGACCGACACTTCGGAGTTGAAAATTGGCCCGTTATTAACATTAGTTGTACTAGCAATATTAATACTATTAATATTGTTTTGGTTGGTCTCCGGGTGGCATGATTCGACGTCGTTTCGAGCTTTTAGACCCGAAATCAGCTGAAGCCTCTGAAGGTCCTCGCTCGAGAACGATTCCTCCACGAAATTCGACACCCATTCCAGCTCCGCTAAATCGTCGTACTGTAATTGATGTAAAACATAGTTAATACGGAAAAATTATTAGTCAATTTTATTACAAAATGGAAATGAAATAAATAATTTGTTTTATTTTTATATATTTTATCTCTGAGTTGCGTAAAGGTTGAGTTGAGTTATCATTGGGCAAAAGAACTGAACCCGCATAATAATAGCCGCTACTTTCTCTGTACATTTTCATGCATAGAAGTTCTAACCTTCTTTTCTTTTTTCTTTCCTTTTTTTTTTTAACAATTTTTTCCCCAACTTCTAGCAATGAAGAAAAAGAAAATATTTGTGAAAATTTGTATATACCGCGGGAACGCAGAGTTCGCTGGAGAACTGGCCGTCGGCGAAATTCTGGCAGCCGATATCGGTGAGGAAATTGGTTTCGCAGCCGGAGAAGTTGGAGGAATTGCAGCTGTCCACGACGGTGACGGGGGAGGAATTTGTGGAATTGCCGGCGACGGCGTTGAAGGCGGCATCTGCGATGACGGCGTCTTCGTTGGAGAAGTCAAGGAACTCTTCGACGAGGAAATGGTCGCCGACGCCGGCGACGGCTTTGCTGTCGGAAGAGTACTGACGCTTCTCGGGGACGAATGGAGGGCAAAAAGAAGCAGCAGTATTTTGATAGAATTCTGGCGCTTCCATTTGGTCCCTAGTTGTAAGGTTTTTGTGTTTTTGAGACAAAACTAAGAGATGGTGGGAATTAATATTGGGTGTACAGTGAGAGAAATACTGAGAGCAAAAAAATAAAGTGTGAGGAAGATAGAGAGAAGAGTGTTAAATGTGAATATGGTGTGGTTTTTTGAGAGGAGAGAGAGAGATATGGGGGGGTTTATTTGCGTTTGAAGGGGGACAGCCGGACAGCTAAAATGAAGGATTTTGACGAAGGAAAAACAAAAATAAAGGTCTGCGTGACAAAAAATAAATAAAAGTGGGGAAAATAAATTAATAGGAAAAAAAAATTTAGAGAGACTTTAATAGGGTTAAAAGAAGGTGAAAGTGAAATGTATTGAATTTACTCTATTGGCCTTTTGCCTTTGGACGTCTTTTCTCATTAGCTTACCAATTTTGTCCTTTTGGAGAGGTAAAATTACGAGTCACTATATGGTCGTTTTTTTTTTTACTGCCTTAAGGGATTTAAAACCCAAACTCAATACATTGATAACAATTCACACATTTACTATACATCTCAATTAGCTAGACATTAAACGATTCTTAATGATGTGAATGCTAAACTCAACTAAAATACTTAACTTTACTTAAAATTATTACGAACTCAGTTCTCTCACATGGTACATAAGATGAGAGTGCACACTAGACCACTCTACGCAACATTTAAGTAGAATATAACTTTGTTGAATTGTAATATCATGTGTTATTGTGTGTCCTTTACTACTTTTTATTATTCTATGGAAGTTAGCCATCATACCTAACAAAGCTTCGTGCCATTCACCGTTTTTTGCTTGTTTTAACTGATTTTTATGCAAAGGAAAGAAAATAGTAAAAAAATATAAGAGATATAATCCCTATGCGATGTGGTGCCATGTGACGACAGGTAGGAAAAACGTTATGTTCAATTAAGGACTCTGTTGGATGAGGGTGGTGAAGTTACAAAGTGCATACTGGGGGCTGCTGCTTTTATGATACTGCGGACATATTTGTGCTTCAACGGCCAGTTATGTTAGAGGGCAAAAATGTAATTTTAAATATCTAGAATTTTGTACTTTTTTTTCTGATTGCATGTAATGTAACTACTATCAAAATCGTAAAGCAATCAAAACCGTTGAGGTTTTTAGTGGGGCCCGCGGTTTCTTAAGACCACAACATCTAACGCACGTGCATTTTCATGATGAAGTTGATGTACAATCATAATGACGGCATGTACCGCACACAATCATTCATCCCAAATGCGGTCCATAATCAAGTGCACACGACGCATATGTTGCTTCGACCTCACTATATATCAGCCACTGACGAAGGGTAATTTAGTCAAACTATTAAAATGCAGGACAATTGCTTAAAGGGTGAATTCGTAAAAGTGGAATATTATTAATTTGGCATATAAAGATACAACATGTAAATACAAATTACACGTAAAGTTTAGCTAAACTGTAATTAGGAATGACTAATGTGTTTTCAAATTCAACCCCTTAGGAATCGATCTAGCAGGTTTGTCGCTGTAGACTTTGCATTAGCGTCCAAGTATACAGCCGGATTCCTCTGATTCAATTTTCCTTGGAATTCGTGTTTCTTCCTTTTTTTTATTCATCTAATAATATTTCTCTGATATATTCGCTTTTTTAAATTTGTTATTATATGATTTAACCCCCCTGCTTAACACCTTTATTAAATTCAAAACCTCACTTGTAAGCACGATGGGTACAGCTCAACATCATGAAATTGAACGGCCAAGATCTCCCCAACGTGTTGCCCTCTTAATTCGGTTCTCACCTTTTACCCCACGTAGGACAAAGAGCGAGTCCAATGTAAAAATTAAAAAGGGTCCCATATATTATTTTAACCATGCACTCATTTAAACCTCATACATGGAAAAGAAAAAAGTATTACTAATATATTAATTCGTTAACTTTTAATTGGATTCGGTTCAATTGAAATAAGTTAAGAGATATTATCACTTTAAGTATTAGAAGCTATTATTGATTGGATAATCATAATGTTAACTTACGGAGTAACGGTTGAGTTAGACATGCAATATAATCGTACTAGCCATTTTAAAATATAACAAAAATTTTAGAATATATATTACAAATTAATAGTAAAAATTAAAATCAACATAATAATTACAATTTAATTTTGTAGCGTCAAACGTTATAAAGTTATTACATAAGTTTTTGTATTTTTCAAATATTTTAAAAATTAGAAATTACTAAAGCATGTCATGTATATTTAGTGAATCCATTATTTAATAGATGCGATTATTTATTGAGCAAGTTCAAATCCACTTAAAAAATACCCATTTAATTTATATCCTCAAATAGGTCACCTTAGCTAGCTAACGCGTTATGCTTGATATAAAAAATTAAAATCTTGACGTCCTTAGTAATATAATTTATACAAAATTAAGATTAACTAAAGAGAAATACACGCTGCCAATGAGTAAATACAACCATTTGATTTATAGGTTTAAACAGAAATTTTAATGTGAAAAAATATTATAGTAAAGATTTAAGTGTAGTTTAAACGGAAGAATCAAAGAGGGGCAAAGTTGACTTGAAACTTGTTGCCTCAAATAGATTGTAACGTTTGAAACTTGTTTTACAACCAATATAACGTAGAAACACGTTTTAAACTTGTTAATGAAGTTAGGGCTAATTTGCATACATATTTACATGCATGCATGAACGTAAGATAAAACCTACTGTTAAATGTCGGCTACACCACCACCACCACGTGGCAGACATCAAGTGGTGCAGACTGATCAAATGGGGCCATGTTGCCATGAATCAATCCCTAGGTGAGTGAGGGTCTTCTTCCAACAACGGATAAGGTGTTACTGTTCTTATTTATTGCCGATAGATACTTGTAATATCCTTCCTTCTTTTTTTATTTTTTTTCCCCCTATATATGTAATTCTTTACTTCATTTTATTTTTCTTTTTCTTTTCACTTTTTTGCTTGAATTAAAAGAAAAGCCTGAAAAAGAGAAGGTACCTGAGGCATTGCTTGGCTCAGAGGTTTTCATTTTCCAGAGATTTTTCTTTAAAAATGGGCTCTCTGATTTTTTTAGTGATATTTTAGTATAGTATATATTATAAGCTTTTGGGGATTATTATTTTAGTGAAACTTTCGCATTAGTGGGGTCCAATCTGCACGTGATGGAGTTGGGCTGTGGTGTCAGCATCCCATGTGAGTGCTTGGCTCGTGTCGAAAGCCAAAACTGACGGTGGTCAAATGCCACGTGGCGAGAATCTATGGCGCCATGATTTGTTTTTCGACCCTTTTCTGGGATGCTTCGACCGGGGAATGGAGAGTCTATGGGGGACTTTTTTGTAGTTGAATATAACGTGAGAGCACGTGCCGGAGAGTTGTCACGTGAGTCGTGGGTCGTGCACGTGCTTCCTGATCCAGTAAAACACTACTATGAGCAAGTCACGTGGAATGGGAGCTCCTTTTTTGCTTGATTGTTGGGTTGTATGTATGTATTTGTGGTTTGCTTCTCACTTCTCAGTTTTGTGTACTTAAAGCCCGTTTAATTCGTTGATTTGAGTTTTTAATTCGAGTTGATGTGTGATTTTATGTGAGAGTTTTTTACTGTAACAAAAAAGTTATATGTGATTGTTTGTGAGAGTTTTTTATTGTAAAAGAACTCGAATTATAAAGTCGAATCAGCGAAATGAACGTGGCCTTAAAGAAGCCCATTTTGGAGTCAGATAGGTCCACTGTCTACATATATATCTTTCTTCTTAGGTCAAAATGAGAGATGTTCATGTTATGATCCCGATAGAGCCCCACATTGTTAAAATATGAGCTTAGCATGTGGGTTTATAACCACTTGGGTACCCTCTCCCTACAAGCTAGCTTTTAGAGATTGGTTCTACCCAAGGGTTATAACAATTGGTATCAGAGCATGCTCCTCCTCAAGCCCACGTTGCGGAAGGGGCGACCTGGAAAGGCCAGAGTGGGCCATCCAAAGTGGGCCGCCGTGGACGTCGGTGTCGGAAGCGTGGTGGTATGTTAGGATCCTGGTTGAGTCCCACATTGCTAAAGTATGAGCTTAGCATATGGGTTTATAACCACTCGAGCACCCTCTCCCTACAAGTTAGCTTTTGGGGATGAGTTCTACCCAAGGGTTATAAAAAAAAAAAAAGAGATGATTAGAATTCTAATTGACAAACTAGTTTGAACAAGGAGAATTCCAAGGTAGACAGATTCTAAGTAGCAATTTGAAACCCTTTAATACTTTTCTTAATCTAAAATGATCCTGATAGTGTGATTTAGAATTTATGTGGTACCATTAAGTTAGGTAGAATTCTCACATTCCCAATTAAAATTCAATTATTTGATTTTTCTTACAGTAACGTTTAAGTAATGTCTTTTGATTTTACTTGTTTCAGCCTATACTTTATAAATTGTTTTGGCACAAAATAACAAGCAGTCTTTTTAACACATAAATGGCTGGGATATTCACGTATCTCATGATCATGTTTGGTAAAATCAAGTCCACTGTGAAGATATTCATAACTCATGCTCTATCGTAATTCTTACTGGATCATAACCCCAATTTAGGTTTAATAGTGCAACCATAGAGGCCTAGCCATACATATATATATATACAAAATTAAAATAAGCAAAGATGAAATATAAATAACAACTAAACTCAAAGTCTTCTTCCGGACAAAAAATAACCCTCAAACTTACAGTCATTAAATTAACTTGTTCAATATCTTGTATATTGAGGATTTCACGAAGGTATTTCAAAATAAAAATATCCCAACATAAACATTGAAAACTAATGTTTTAATATCTCACTAGCTACCATGATACTTAAGTTTCATCCATAATAAGTTAAAGAAACTAAAAGAAATGATTGCTAGTACTATAAGTAGGAAGCTTTCTTCATGGATGTATACTAGTACTATGGGTGTGTTTGAGATTATTTTTGAAACTTCCGAGAGCATTTTGCACAATAAACGATACAACTATAGTGTTTGCTAAAAGTGTACAAAAGCATTTTACATATAAATCAATGCACTTTTTAAGTTATTTTGAGAAGTTGGAATGCGTAGCTTTTAAATTCTATTTCTGCTTCTGCTTTTACTTTAAGTAAAAGTAGTGCTTCTATTAAAAGCACAACAATTATTTTAAAAGTACAGCAACCCCAAACTAGACCTATAACTAATTTGTGAATTGAAAGTGCTAATCCAGAAGCCTCATATGCCCTAAGCCCTCACGCCCCTGTCCTCTTTTAAATTAGTAAAAGAGATTGAACTCTAAACTCTAACACTTAAGTCGGAGTTATGAATTTACCATTAGATTGTACTTACAACCACATATGTTGTAGGTTTTTTTTTATGATGAATTCCTCCATAAAGAAAAGGGAGGAATGGGTTTACTCTGGTAATTATGGTGGTGTGGGACAATTTGAATTCTTGTGTTGCCGGTTTTGTTTTTAGGCGGTAGAACTTGCGTACTTGCCAGTTAGAAAGTAGGCAAAGGTGTAACAACAAAGGGAATAAAAGTTATAAGCTGCTTAACCACAAAGGGAAAGTGTAACTCAAGAATTCTTTTGGGAAACAAAAATAGAAAAGGAAAACAAGGAAATGGCGTTGAGCAATATAATAATCAAGTATAAACCTAAAACTTGGCCACCTTCCGGCCAATATTAATCATCTTCTAAGGACAAAGTTAATATTGCTAGTTTATAGGCCATTGAAACTATGAATCAAATTCTATTTTGATCCATAACCTTTAAAATGTTTGCCAACGAGTCTAATTTATAAAATTGTCAAATTTATTAATCTGTTTATTGGAATGTTTTAAAAGTATGGATCAAAATAAAATTTGACATATAATGAAAGACTAGAAATGAGTTCTACCTTATTTTCGCTAATTGTAGTTTTTAACTTTTTTTAGTTCTTAAGAATAACATAAAAAATTAATTGCGATATTGTTATAAATGGATCGTGATATTGTTATTTTATTTATAATATTATACATTATTTTATTATATTGTCATAATATAATTATCAATATAATTATAATACTAATCAATATTATGATAGATAATACAAAATATGTTACAATTAGATATTATAACTATAATATATTAATATTAGATATAGTGCTTTTATATATTATATATGTTGTAATTACAATAATGTTATATATTATGTATCATATTATATCATTTGCTATAATTACATAATATGTTATTTAATTATAACTATGATATAATATAACATATATATTATATGATATATAATATAATTAGAGTTTTATTTTGTAGTCATATTATTTACACAATTATTTTACACAATATAATATATATGATATAATATAACATATGATATAATATAACATATATATTATATGATATATAATATAATTACATAATATGTTATTTGAATAATTGTAATATTATTTTTTACACAATTATACTTTAATATAACAATAATAATATAACTACTAATTTTATTATAATATTATAACTAAATTAACCACTATTACAATATTTTATATAATAAATATATAAATATATATTATAATTATATGATATATAATATAATTAGAGTTTTATTTTATAGTCATATTATTTACCTTTTTAACATGAAATATTCATATTTCATTTCATAGTATTTACAAAATTATAACCAAATAAATGAATAAACTTTTTTTTTCATTCTATTCTATTTCCTCACTGCAACTTAACGTACCCTTAGTTCTTATCAACAGAAAAAAAAAAAAAAAAAAAAAAAAAAAAAAAAAAAAAAAAAAAAAAAAAAAAAAAAAAAAAAAAAAAAAAAAAAAACACTTCTTTTAGTTCTTGAGAGTGAGTAAATGCAAAGAGGAATATAAGTTTTGTTTTGTTTTGTTTTTGGGTTGAGAAATGAGGATTATATTACTGGCTCTCAGTGAGCAAAAGGGCCATCATAGAGGGCATGACCATCCTTGGAGATACAAACCCAGTAAAGCTAGAACTAAGGGCCCAAGCACACGAGCCACCCTGTTGTAACATCTAGGTACACTCTTATAAAATACAATTGTCTTCCAACCAAACTTATCGTGGTTTAGTAAATTATCCGTAAATTTTTAATTTTAAAAATTAACTGCCTAAATTTTAAAAATTATTATAATATATCCTATTTTACTAAATTTGTTCAATTTTTTTATTAGATTTAAGAGATTAAAAGTTGAAGAATTAAAATATTTGGGTTAAATTTGAATTGAGATGTTGAAATTCTTCATCGAACATGTCTTTTCGACACTAATTTAACACAATCATCGTTAAAATAGAGCACATTATAATAATTTTATAAATTAAGAAGGATAACTTGCTAAAATTAAAAATTCAGGATAAATATGTAAAATATCTAAAAAAAAATAAAGCAACTATTGACAGCAAGAAAACAGTTAGCCTCCAATCTGGACAACTCCCCTTGTTAGCTATGGCAGTCACTTTCAACTTTAATCAGGCGACAGTGAAAAGAGCTACTTTGAACAACCCAACAATTGGATTATTGGACAATTGACAATTCTACCAAAACTGAGGCTTGAGAGCAAGGAAAATAGGTTCAGAGTTTAATTCGGCCCTTGAATCATTCTGGATCGGAATGTTATGTCTTAAGGAGAAAGAGAAAATGAGATGAATTAAAATTAATAGGTTAATAGTTTACATAAGTTAATAAATATATTAAATTACTATTTTCGTCTAAAATTTGTCTGGTTATGAACTATGATCAGTTATTGTCTATAATTGTTCATAACTTGTCTTATTATGAACCATAACTTGACAAGTTTGTCCATAACTTATCTGATTATGAATCATAACTTGACAAGTTATGATCTATTAATTTCTATAACTAAAAATTAACCTATATATTTTTTTAAACTTTTCATATTGGTATATTTTCTACTATTTTCCTGTAGCTTATTACTCATACTGGATCCATTTCTAGCCCACGACCAAAAAAAACAAAAAAAACAAAAATAGAATTCCACTACAAGTACATTTCTTCGTTCCTTCCTTTCTTTCTCTTGATCGTGAATTCGTGATCTTTTTCTTTTTCCTTTTTTTTTATTTTAAGGATGCAAGTACAATTTTAAACCATTGCCATTAATATGTAATGACAATTTCCAAAATTCAGTCACTTCTATATTTAGTTGGACAAATCATTCTTATAATAATATTTCATCAAATTCTTCAACGAATCAGTTCAGGGATCATTCTATTTTAAAACTAAAATAATTAAAATTTTCTCTTCCCAAAATATTCCTCCCATTGTTCTAAAATATACATCAAATACTCTTTTTGCCATCTCAATATAACTCTACTGTAACTCATTCGTCAAAGTTAAAATTATTTGAATATTAGTCATATATCAAATATAATATTCACAACATCGAGAAAATATTAGATTTTGGTTTTAAAACATCATTAACAATTAGTTAAGGGGTATTTCAGTCAAAATATATACCATTCCATTTCATTCTAATGACTAACTAAACATAATAATTGTGTTTCTAATATTAGTTTTAATGCTCAACTAAACAAAGCGAAATTTAAATAAATCATTTAGTTTATTCTTATTCTCATTCCATTATATTTTTATTTCTATTTCGTTTTATTAAACTAAACGTCACTTTAAAATTTTAATAAGCTTTTAGTAGAGTGAGGAGAAAAAATTATACTAATAAGGATAATTTTAAACTATTAGAATTTTATTAAAATTTTCTTAATTAATATATCATTTTTAATTTGACATAATTGTGATATGATTTAACATTTATAAATTGTGATCTGGATACAAATTATTTAAATTTTATGTTTAAAGAGCTTTCTATAGTGTTTAGATGTATTAGAGCATCTATAGAAATAAAATACGAGAGACTTTACATTATGGTTAGTTATCCTAGTAATAAATTCGTTTTTTTTTCTTTTTGAAATGGTAAATTAACATTCTACTACACTATAAAATGAGGCATTTATTTTATTTATTCTAGAGCATCTATAGAAATAAAATACGAGAGATTTAGGCTCCTTTTTTTTCGCTGATTCGAGTTTAGAATTTGAGTTTTACTATAGTAAAAAGCTTTAAAAAACAGTCACATTTAACTTTTTTGTTACAGTAATCACACAACATCACATTTTAACTCGAATTAAAAACTCGAATTATCCCAGTGGTAATTTTTTTTTTTTTTTTTTTTTGTGTGTACGAGGCATTTATCTATTGATAACAGAAAAAAAAAAAAAAAAAAACCCAAATCAAGTGTAGTTATTCATGAAAAAGAATTAAAAAATAAATAAATAGAGTGTTGAGTGAAATATACAGAATTGATAGAATACAATTTTAACTGCATAATATTCGTTAAATTCAAACAGCTCCAGATCGAGATTCGAGAACGACAGCTGCCATGGAGTCGGAGCGCAGTAAGCCGGTGCAATGGCTGAACGCTATGGTATCTGAGCCCTATTACTTGTTCCATTTCCTCGCTTTCTTTTCCTACTTTGTCGTCCGTACACCCGCCGCCAAAGTTCTCGTCCCTGCCATCTCCGATCGCTTCCTTCACCGCGTAATTCTGATCTCCCTTTCTCTCTCTATCTCCAATTTTTATCTCTTTAACTCCATAATCAAGCTTGTCGTTATTAACATTCCTTCGATTTTGTTCGTGGTCAGGAAATTCAAGCGGTTTTAGCATTTGGAGTTTTGACTTCTATCAAGGTACTGGCTCTTTGCAGTGCTTGAATCATTTTGGCTAGATGTTTATCCCATGAGGAAAAGATTCGTAGATTGAAAACTTTCAATAATTTATCAATTTATGTCTAGTTTGATTCTATTAAATATGCTGAATTCTAGAGTGTGAATTGAGAATCAGTGACTTAATATATATATATATATATATATATATTTGTATGTTTGTTGTAATAAATGTTTTGGTCTGTCATTTTGGGTGATTTGATTTTACTATATCAAACATTTAGCTTGGGCATGGATTCTGCAAACTGGTTCATTCAAGCTTTCTCTCTCATTGCAACAGATGGTGAGAGAAGAAAATTGGGAAGCCTTTATTGGTGACACGCTGTTTTTTGCAAAGGTAAATCGCCTCGCCACTGGTTCCGGTTGTAGTTTGTTTTGTTCTTTCTGTGAATGATTTTTTAATCAACTATGAGCAAATTGATGTTGTTGTTAGTAGCATTAAGCGTCAATTTCATCATATATGTTTCCGATTTCGAGCAGATGATGATATACAAGTTATTTTTAATGATAATTTGAATGCTTCTAAGGAAAGATGAATCGCTAGGAATGATTTTTATTTTCCCTTTTTATATCAGGTTGCTTATCATGCATCACATTGTCTTTCTTAGCATGTATTTCATAAATTTGGCAATTCTTCTCTCTTGTGTCTGACTCATGGTATGTGTTTTTCATGTAGGTTTTTATTGTTGCCCTTGCTTTAATTATGGATTACTACCTCGCTCTATGGTACATTGTTGTTTTTTCAGGTAGATAATGTATCTTATCTCTTGTTTTCATTTTTTCTGTTAAGCAACATGTATGGTAGAAATCTTGGACTGCAAAATTATTCATAGTTTCATCCTAGTCTTAAGTTCCCGAGTTAATCTTTCTTTATATTCCGTAAGTACAATCCCTGGTAACTGGATCTCTTAGGAAAGCTCTCTTCCATCGTTGTCATACTACTTTTATTTGCCTGTTGGATATTTGACGTAGAAAAAGTTTGAGTGAGGTTTAAAGTTACTACAAAGACTTTTAATGTTGGACATTTGACATGGAAAAAGTTTGAGTGAGGTTAATGCAATCTGTTGTCATTTTTGTTTCTGCAGTTATATATATTTTAACACAACAACCGGCATTCCAAGGACTAGGTATGAAGTAATTATTATTATTATTTTTTTCTGCCATAAGTTTCTGTTTTATTACTGTTTTCTTTTACTTGTATCATGTGATCTGAAAATTTTACATTCACTAATCTCTCAGGTACTTGTAGTAAATTGACACCACTGCAGTTAGAAGCCTTGCTGACAGAAGGGAACACATCAAGATTCTGGCTGGTTGGTTTGATATGATAGACTTTCTCTTGAACTTCTTGTGATCAATTCAAAAATTAACTCTTCTTTAAGAAACTATTTCCTAGAAAATGGAATTAATAATGATGATAATAAGCCACCAAAATTACAAACAAGAGACACTGTACTTGGGCTCACGAACTCTTGCTCCAGAAAGTAAAGATTCAACATTTTGATGTATCGTTGCTTTATGTTTGATTCTTAAATTAAATTCTAATTTTATTTTACATTCTTTTGAGCACATACTGAAATTTGGCAGGTAGAATTTGGTTCCTCATATTTGTCTGCTTGCACACGCTCAAGCCGGTGCTTTCCTGAGCTCTCAATTACGTATGCTTCTTGTCTAATCAAAGGGCAAACCATTGCTTTTATTGTGATAACTTCCCCCTCTTGCTCTCGTTGATTCTTCTTGTTACAAAGTAATAACTCTCGTGATGTTTAAGCTCACTCGTGTTCTATTCTGCAGATACTCGAACAAAAGTTTGTCTTTCGGAATAGTTGACCTTGGACTGTTCCCAAATGCTGCAGAGAAGTTTGGAATCTATCTTGGTGGTAAATGATAGACTTATAAAGTTTGATATTTTCCAATTTCAGTGTCATATTCCTTCTTAGTAAAAGTAATTCATTGGAGGACTACGTACTTGCAGGTGGCATGGATCAACTCCCTGTATACATCTTATTCGAGAACGCGACTGGAATTGCACGTTTTCCAGGATTGGATCTTGAAGCGAAACCTTCTCATCCTGCCATTACAAAGGTATTGATACAAACTACATAATTAGACGACACTCAAGTCTCTTTTAGTAAAACTGATTTTGTTTATGCTGCAGAGACTTATTTCAAGATACTTTGAACTTGACCTGCGCCTTCTTGAATATGTAAATGGTAAATGGTAAATGGTAAATAGGTAATCGGCCCTAATGTTTGTCGCACAAGTTTAGTTTTCCTGCTTCCAATTTTACTTCTCCACTCTGTTTTAACGTTATTTGAGGTGTAAAGAATTTATATCCAATTTTTGTGATCGACTTGATTTAAGTGTAAGCTGCGTCTAGCTCAACTTGATGCTCCATTTCATGGTTCTCTTAAAACTAAACTCAAAATATTTTCTTATGTTTCCTTTTCCCCTTGTGATCAGATATTTACATCCTAATTTCATGTCTCATTATGGTATATAGTTTTCAGTTCTAACATTATTGGCTCCGTAAATTTTATGGATCATACTGACTGCCAACACAAAGTTTTAGGACCTCACTTTGGTCGTTTACATTTCGTGTTTGATGATCAAATACGGATGAAATTCATACTGCTTAAAGCATTTTCACACCATTTAAAAAAAACCCCGCAGAAATACTTTGAGAAAATTTCAAGTTTAACCATTGTTTTTTCCAACTGTATTATTTATGTTACTAAATAAAATTTTGATGCCACTATAAAAAATAACTTACAGGTTATGAAAGATAATCTCCAAATTACGTAAGATGACTTACAGGTTACAAAAGATAAGATGTAAGTTAAGAAATATAACCTGCATATTATGAAAAATAATCTATTAGTGACAGATAGATAAATTTATGAATAAAATAGTGTTGATGATATTTTTAGTTTTCTCTCAAATGCTTTTCAAGCAAAAAGCCCATTTGTTGGGGTCTCATTCAAGAGGCAACCATATAGGTTCGGAATTGGATGGCTTTTTTCGAGGCCCACGACAAACGAACCAGAAAGTGAAACTATGAGATTAGTGCCAATCCTATCCAAAAACTTGCCAAGATTTGTAAAGGTCATAACATGCCCGTCTCTTAAAGTGAGTTAATTTTGTCAAGAAACAAAAGAGATTCGAGTAAGAAGTAAGAACCAATTGAGTCTGTTGAGAGATATATCACAAGAATTATAAAGTAGGTTATAAAAACTTATCAATTATGTGGTTGCATAACATACTGGTACGACGTAGACTTTAACTTAAGATCTTTGTCAAATTCAATCATATTATCGTACTTTTAAAGTTTCAATATAATTTTGATAACGATCTGACGGTTAAAAATTGTGTTTTAACAAGTATCCCAACTGCAACCCTCGGGATGCTTTGATTACAGCTTCTCCAAAGGCATATGTCACTCTTGGTAATGGCTAATCGGATAGTGGCAAGTGACGAAAATGGGATATTGGCAAGTGACTTCTTTTGACTGATTGGGTCATGTTAGATCCACGCCAATCAATGTTTAATGTTGCAAGATCTTAGACACGGATCTGAAGATGAGATAGAAAGAAGGAAGTTGTCGTAACTACAGTTTAACTAGTTTTATGAATCACTTGTGATGCTCAACATGACAAAATTTTAATATTGAGTACATGATATGCATAATCTAAGATAAAAATTCGTGGAATGATATTGTTATCATGTTAGATTAGATAAATGATGATTCGCAATTTGCCCTTTATTAATGATGCTTAACATCAAAGGAAAGCTAAGAAAACCTTTGTTGTCTTGTTTCTGATGAGAACAAGAAAAGCTAGAAAACCTTGTGAGGGAAGGCATGATAGAGAGTCATTGTGTTGATTGAAGAGCATGTTCCTCAAAAATAAAAAGAGAGTAGAGAGGGAAAGGAAAGGAATTATGGTAGGTGTACCTCACGCGCTAGAAGAGAGCGCGTGATTATTCGCGAATCACCTACAAGTGCCACGTTAGAGAGGCAATGGGTCTCATACCTTAATATCATGGGAAAAAATATTTAATAATAATAAATAAATAAAAGAAGAACGTCATATTAAAGGTGGCGCCGCCGAATATTCTCTCCTTTGAAAATTTAAAAACCAAGAAGATAGTGATTAGTGAAAGGTGGGGTGGGAGTAACCAAATCATGATCGCCCAGCTGGGCCTCGGGCCGGGCCCCACGAGCCTCTGTTTCTACGCTGCACACGTGGGCCCCGCCATTTCCTTGTCGGCCCACGCTCGGGCCGTTCCACTGCCACTTTCCTCACTCCCATTAACTTGTGCTCTGCGATGCTGGCTTTGCCCGATTTTCCTTTTTTTTTTTTTTTTTTTTTTTTTTTTTTTTTTTTTTTAATAAAACTAAAAATGTGCTTGGCGTGCTTTCCTTTGCGTTTCTCAAAGGAAGATTTCCTCTCGTTCTCTTCTTTTTTCCCTTTCATTTTCCTTTTAATTATTATTTATCTGAACGTGGTTGCTGGAAAGTGGTTAATGGGTGGTGAATGTTGATGTATCAGGAAACGGCATTATACTTGCAAAAAACGAAACTTGTTTTCTACTAAAGACTACAAAAGTTGAGGTAAAAAAAAAAAAAAAAAAATCATGGACAAAATACAATAACTTGCTGTAATATTCACCGACACACTTTGCTTTATATATCTTTGTTCAATTCTGTCACCTTATCCAACACAAGATACACTATTGTCCATTGTCCAAACTAAAGATAAAACTAATGTAGTACAAGATTAAGGAATTATTGTCTAATGTGCTTTTGTTTTAGTAAGACATTCAATTACTTTTTTTCAATATTATACCTTTTTTTTTTTTTCGAAGTGTTTTTTCTGGTAGTAAATTCATAAATTTTTTGGATGATAAATGATTTAAAAAGAGGAGGGAGGAGGAGAGGGGAGTATGTGAGAGATCAGACAGACAGGAAAGGTACGTGGTGAGAGGGACAGACAGAGAGATTTTGGGTGTTGGAAGGAAAACAGTAGTAAATAAAAAAAGAGTAAAAATCCGTTACGTTGACGAAGGCGGAGGCAGAGGCAGTGCACAAATTTCGCGCTTTCCCATGAGAGAATGTCTCTGTCTGTCCCACGCCGAAAGATAGCGACACGCCTTCTGTTCCTAGCGGTCCCCACTTTCATTCTCCACTCAACCAACTAAAAAAAAAAATAAAAAAAAATAAAAAAATAAAACGAAAACAAAAAAACAAAAGCAAAAAAGACAATGGCGGTCCCCTAATTTCTTTTATGAGATTTTTAACATATGGTATTACATTGTATAACCAGTTTTGTCAATTTTTTATACATTTTTTTAAAAATTTATTTTGATGTGATTGTGATTAAATACGAGGTTTTGTACTCGTTTAGTGTATGGATTGATTGTGATCAAATATGAGGTTTTGTGTCGGTTTTGTTTATCCATTATTATGTTTTGAACTCATCAATAATATTTGGTCCTTGTTTGTGAACCTTAATTATGAATTTAGAGAACTTAACACCCTTCCCGGTAAGTTTTTGTGGTTTAAAATTATAAGTAAACATTAATTTAAACTTTATTCACATTCAGAATTACATTATCAAATGCCAATTGGGACTGCAGTTTAAACCATAAAAGTTTTTAATCACTAGCTGAAACTAAAAGGGTTCAAAACCACTCTATTTAAACCCACAAAGCGAAACGACACATCCACTATATTATAAACTTTGAACTTGAAAGCACCTTTGTTTCTAGATTTGGAAATCACTCATACTTGTTAGGGGTGCATAAAAAACTACCGAACCACCCCTATTTTTTGCCACATAACCAACTTTTTAAATAATGATTTCAAACTGCGCGCTCGGTCATGCATAACGAGCGATTCCAATTTGTGTCATGCATAATATAATTTTTTTTGGCGTTTTTCTTCTTAAAATTAACTTCTTTTTTTTTTCTTTTCAATTTTATGTATTTTGGGATTTTACGAAGTATTATTAACTAGGTTGCTTGTTGAGATTTTATTACATATCTGTGATGGGATTTTACTAACTATATACTTTACTAATTTATTGCATGTACTATTGTTGGGACTTCGTTAAATATTTATATTATTAATAACTATCATTATGTATGTTATTTTGTTGTTTGATATTGGCAATCTTTTTTTTAACCTTGGAAAAGAGTGAATAGATGATAATTTTTCTAAAAACATACTAACAAAATTACTTTTAAATATATTTCTTTAATCTTTTAAGCATTTTTCGAACAAAACATGATTAGGTCCAAACCGTCCAACCCGCCCGCAATCCATATGCCAATTGCACATCCTAAATTGTGCTCTTCAGTCCTCACCATTCAAAATGTGTGCTCTGGTTTATTTGAGTTTTTTTTTTCTTAAATCTTTTTTTTTTTGTAAAACCGCACTGTCTTGTTACAAACTATTAAACTGCTTGTTTGTGCTGTTGTGCGTCCTTAATATGTTTGTTTCATAACTCAAGTTAAGAATTTGAGTTGTGTATGAGAGAGAAAAATATTGTAGTAAAAAGTTGTATTTGAGTTTTTGTAAGAGAAAATACTGTAGCTGTGTAACATCCCGCTTTATATTTCAATAAATAAAGCACTTTTATAATGAGAAAATTACAATAAAGTACAATATAAAAGCCAATCTTGATGTTCCCGTACAACTCGATGTTTTTGTACATGTCGATCTCATGCTCTAGTGTCGTAGCGACATATAATTACAACTATAAGTAAGATGATGATGATAGCTAACATAATAAAGTTTATAGTTATTAAGAAACTATCATCATAAAAATTAAGAAGAAGGATATTGTTGAGGAATAATTTTAAAGAGTGAAATTTATGGATGAACACGAAGGTTAGAAAACTAAATTATTTATAAGGTAAAAACTAGCTGCTTTTTACCGTTGGAATAGTAATTGGACGATTTTACCCTTAGCCGTTGTGAACGGTATTTTAACCGTTGGAATAACCGTTGGGATCAATGATAGGGTGATTTTTGCCTTTATTATCTGTTAGGAATAATTTTCTGACTGTTTGAAGAAAATAACTGTCAGAATAATATTATCTTGTCACAATCCTCATTGGGGACTGAAAGCATGAAACGGGCTGCCGTTGAGGTGAATCAAGAAAGAAACTGATGAGACACAGTGCATGATCATGTCAACAAAATTATCTGCAAAACCGTTAGCACTAAGGACTCTCTCCAGAAAGCTCCACTCAATTCCATCATACACCTTTTACTTATCGAGCTTTACTCCTAATAAACCTTTCTTGCCTCTCTTTTGCTTAATAGTGTGCATCAGTTCTTGGGCGAGAACCGAATTCTCCGTGATATAATGAATTGGAACAAAAACATATTAAAAAGGCGAGACAAGTTTGTCAAGGACTT